GCACAAAATAACCTCAGCTGTTGCTGCCTTTGTTTTTCCCACTATATCAATGTCATCAGCAACTGCATTATTTTACGAATTATTTTTACGAATGTAGTTTTTTGTGTTTGTATGCTCGAATCTCTTATTGCTTTTTCTAGGTGATATTAAAAAACTGGCAGAAAAAGAGAATCTCCTTATTATTGTCCTTTTTCAATATAAAAGATATTTGATAATTCAGTTTCCAGTTTTACTCTCCTAAGGATCATCTAAATCAGATTCACCAATTTTTCAGGCACTCCCAACTCCAGCATCACCTGGAACAGTTTCTCCCCATTAATGTTGTTATATTCAGTCTTAAAATCAATGAAAAGATGACATGTATCTATATCATATTCTTTTGTCTTTTCAAGTATTTACCTAATACTTGGTATTTGGTTGGTAGTAGATCTACCCTTTAGGACTGCACATTGGTATTCTCGAATTGTTATTATTATTCACACCTTTTCATGTATTCATAAATTTCTGCAGCTTTTCATCATCTGTATCATGAATTAAATTATCTACATAAATTCTTTATTCAAGAAGTTAATACATCTTTTGAATATTGTGATTTCAACTTTCTTGTGTGGTGCTTTAAAATTGTGTCTACTAAAAAGAGACTGCAAAATACTCTTAATATTATACACATCATTCTTAAAGTCATCTGTTGCTCTTTTTCTTTTGCAAGCCAAATTTAAAGCATTTCTGTCCTCAGGCTTTAACAGAATTTCTAAAAAGGGAACTTCGATATCTGCAGCAAATGCTATTCTATGTTGATGAAAATAAATTGAGAAATCTAATAATTCAGGGTTTAAATTTGGTCTTGAATGTAAGTAATCATTTAAAGGTAGACTATCATGATTGAGGAAACATAAAAAAATGACTCTTAATTTTGTTGAATCATGTTCTCTGATTACTGGCAAAAAGTAGATATTTCCTGTAGAATTTTTTTTTGGGGTTCTGTTCCTTTATTTAGATAATCTTCAATTACCCTTAAACTACCTTTTATAAATTTTGGGATATTTCTTAAACCTTCTAAGTAAACTGTTTAGTTTCTGTAAGGCAATGTTATAATTACTACCCGTTTTGATGACATTATGCTTCCAAGGTATTGAATGTTCATAGCAATTGTCTTTATATTCAGTCATTTCTTCAAACCTCCACACAATTTCATTGTCATTTTCATTTATTATAATGTCAGCGATTCCAGTTTCATCTAAGTCCCATAGCCTTTTGAGAGCTGTACTAGTTTCAAAATCCTATGCATGTGAACTCAACTACATTCATTACCGTAATTGTAGACTGTAATGTAGAGGCATTACTTAAGGCTTCATTTCCACCTGAAATATAACCAAATAAGTGACTGTTTTCCAGTAAAAATCATTATCAATACTGATATTTGAGCCCTTTTATATTTGTAGCATAAGCAAGTGTAGAATTTTCCTTACAGGAATTAAATATTTCCTTTCCTGGCACACCAGTAACAGCTTGGCTAATACTTGAGTTTGAGAACTCAATTATTTTTCTCCAGATCAATCTATGTCTTTAAGAATCACTTTAACCTTTTTTAACCTTTTAATCATAAGCTCAGCAGGGCCAAAGGTTTAAATCTGAAGTTCTTCTTCTATAACATTTAATCTCAATTGTTTTGATACTTCTATCAGGATGAAAGATTTATGAGAAGCAGAATCACACATAATTCTCTATATTTTTCTTCCATTCTGACCATAAGCTATTGCATTTTTAGTATATAAATAAACTTTATTTTTGTTTTCTTTCTGAAATCAATACTACCACTCTGTTCATTTTAAACATTTTATTTTCCCATTTATTATCATATAAAATAGTGTTATGTTTAAATGAACATAAATCACAACATCTGTCTAAATTAAAATGGGCTGACCTATGGTCCTTTTGAAAATATAAGTAATATCTGTCAGCTCTTTTTAATTTCTTTTACCTGAATTGGTATTGCACAGTCTGAATTGGAATGTTTCAAAGATTCATTTTCCAATAAAATATGCAATTGAATCATGATATATTTATATTCAGTGCTGCTGGGTTTATATTTGACCCTCTTTTTAAAATTCAGAAGTTTCAAAATGTTAATTGGCTTCTGTGCCAGGTTTTAATGATGGATTGAGCTCTAGAATTAATTCACTAGGCCAGCGGTTCTCAACCTTTTGACTAACCTGTACCACCTAAACAAAAATTGAAAACTTTAAGTACCACCACTACTACATTACTACTACCACCACTACTCTTGAACAAAGCTCATATCGCTTAAATTTACAAGTGTTAAAGAAAAAACTCAATCAGGATGTTGAGGTTTTAATTTTTGAATTTAATAGTTAAAAATACTTTGCTTCTTTGAGTACCACCTATTTTTCTCTTGCGTACCACTGGTTGAGAACTCCTGCACTAGGCAGTATTCTCAATAACAGTGGGCATAACAAATAGCTGTTAAGAATGCAAAGTAACGTTAAAGGCATCAAGATTTCTAATTTCTATTTCTAAACTATCATGTAGGTTTTGTAATGCTTTAATATTATCCATTCTTTTCACTGGCTTTAGCAGACCCTTCATATGCATGTTTTTTTAAAATTTCTGTTTTTTTTAGCAATTTTTTCTTTCAGAATATTTATTACTTTTAATTTTATTCATAATTTTGAGTGAGTAGTGGAAGCCTTTAATTGACATTGAAGCTGTGTCCATTAATAAAAATTTGCGGTAGTTCAATTTGCCTTCATCTTTTAAAGCAGAGTTATTATGTATAGCAGATTTGCACTGAGCCCCAAAACTCTGAAAATCACCTATGTCATCTTTAAAATTTATTTATGGTAAATTTCAGAAGTTTGGTGTCAGTTGTAATTGAACTTCATACTAGAAGAATTAGATGTTTAATTTAACACTTCTATTTCTGAATAATCTATTACTCTTCAGTTTGCATAATGTAGTTTTATGTTCCAAGGTTTTCTGTATTCATGTTTTGTACTTTTTTTTGTCTATAATGGCAGATGGAATTTCACTGTTTACTGTAAATATATCATTTTCATTTAAAATGGATAAATCATTGTCTAATAAATCAAATTTAATATTATCCGATAATTTCTCATTCTAGTGTAGTGATCAGCCTCATAACTGATGCTCTTAACATCCCACATTTCTGTTTTATTGCTTTTAACTTATCCATTTTAAAAATTAATATTCAATCACTGATTGAAGAATAATAATGATTTAAATCATGATTTGTCTAAAGGTTCCTTGTTCAATCCTTGATTTTGCCACCATTTTTTCCCCCCTTAATTTGTTCTTGTTTTATTTACTTAATTTTACCTTCAACATCTAACAAAAAATGAAGAAATGGTAAGAAAAATTTTTGCTTATTTCTTCAAGAAGGCCATAGGACACTTGGAACTTCTGCAATTTTATTTAAAAGTATTTATAGTATTACTAATTATTTATGGTTGGTTTGCTTATTCCAGAACATTCATCTTTTTTTTTTTTTTTTTTTTTTTTTTTTTTTTTTTCTGTTGTTGCCATTACATTTCAATCAAAGAATCCTCAAAGCAGCAAGGAAAGCAATAAACATAAAATGAGAAATCTGCACCCTTTCATGGCCAGCTACATGAAACTGCAATAATGTAAGTCATTTGCTGTAGCTGATGTAAAAGCATTGCTTAGATTTGCGCATTTTTCTTTATTATGATGCTTTATAAATGTTCAAAACAATTTTTTTTAGAAAAGTGAAAATCCTTTTCCCATTTCTTTCAGTTGGCAAAAAAGAATAGTAATGAAGAAATCTTTCACAATAGCAAAGTGGTATAAGTTCTACAAAGCAGGAGCTATCTGAGTAGAATATTTTTAAGGCACTTAACTTTAAGTAATGTATGTGTGTGTGGAGAGAGAATATGCAGAATCAACCCTTTCAGGATGCGATACGAGTTCTATTTAACGTAACTATATGGACTGTCTGCTGCATATATATTTTAGCTATTTGTAACTGGCTAAAATGACTTCTTAGTAAAACATTCTTATGACTTACTTTTTTTCTGGTTATTAACTACTAAAGAGTTTTTGCCAGTAGATCCTATTAAAGTGCACTAGGCAAAGATATTTTCAAATAAATGGTACTAGGGAAGTACCAACACCCGTGGGCGAAGAAAATTCAGCTGCATGAGCAGGTATATCTTAATACTTATGAAAGTAGGCGTTCATTATAAAAATTGTGCAGTGATAAGCAATGGCATTAAATTGAAGCATGCAGACAGGTGCAGTGAGTTGTATGGCAAATGCAGATGGTGAGTGCAATATAGCTAGTAAGAGTGAGGGATAAGCAGTAGTGAGACAAGATGAAAATGGCGCGAAGACAGTTTGAAGCTGTGAATGGCATAAGAGTTCAAAGTCCTTCAGAAGTATGCAGTAGCTAGATAGGCCATAAAATTTCAAAAGTTCATAGAATCATACGATAAAGTAAACATTCATGCAAAATAATTTAAAAAAAAAGAAATAGTAACATAAAAAACTTGAATAAAAAAAGTTTCTTGATTAACATAAGTATAAGATGCAACACAAATAATAGGATAGAGTCCAATTTCAGAGTTCAAGTAAATTTTAAAATTAAAATTTACAAGTTACCACCATGACGAATTGTGATGAATTGTAGTAAAACATTCTGTTTATTCTGTTTATGCTTTTTCTCCCTTAATGAAATACTGGTGGGAATAAAAAAAAGTCATTAACAAATTTAAAATATTTTATTTAGATACTTGGCTAAGTAAGTATTCAATCTGATCTTTTTTTGAGGGCTTCATTTTTTAGAAGAGAAGAGAGCAAATTACTTGATTCATACAATTACAGCATTTCGTAAAATGTTTAAAAACTAGCGCTACTTTAACACAGAAGGCTTTTAGTATCATGTCATGTACATCTGTGTGGTTATAAGTCTGATATTGAATATTTGCTTTTTTATTTTACAGCATGTTGAAACCAATGGCAATGCTGCTGCAAATCAACCAGCAGGTGATGATACAAGAGGAGCTCTTCTGAATCAAATAAGACAAGGAGTTGTTCTCAAATCTGTATGTAATCCTTTTGTTTTTTTTACTTTTATTAAGAACTATATAATTTTCTCTGTCCCAAAGACATTCATTATCATTGCAGTAGAATTCTGATAATTTGCAAACATCGAACTGAAGGTTGTGCAAGTCGAGAATTTTGTGTTTTATATGCAGAGTCTTTCTGAGTTTTGTTTACATTTCTCCTGTTCTAATTTTTATATATAAGTAACTATTAAATCATATCCATAGTGTAAGAATTATTTAATCATAGAATTATTAATTCATAGAACTCAAAACTATTGTATTTTTAAAATGTAATTGATATTAAAAAATAAAATATTTATTTATCTATACAAATGCCAGACATTTGACCACTAAGCCATTAGCCTTGATCTTGTTTCCTAATACTTAAGACCAACAGAATTAAATGATAATAGTGCAGTGCATTATTCAATATTCTCCCTTATCCATGGACTGTCCCGAGTTATAAAGAGCACAGACAGAAGAGTTTTTAAGTCGAATTTCAAAAAGATGGGTCAGACAGTCATGCCCAGTCAAAAGTGAAATAACACCACAGCTGCAGGACGTGGAAAATCTGGAATAACTGGCTTTGAAGTAATGAGACATTTCCAAGCCTTTCTATTAGCTTTGATAGGTAAGAGATAAATCTCATCTTAAATTCTAATATAATTAGAAGTTTTGCAGAATTAAAAATCATGGTTATTAGTGGTTTGTTGAATAGTTGTTTCTTTCTTTGCCAAGAAATCAGCTATTTCATTGTGTTCAATGAGCAGGAATCCATTGCAAGACAATTGAGTCAGCAGGAGAAATTCAATCCAAATGTTAAAAGAACGAGGAAGTGAGACAACTCTGTGACAGATTTAATGTTAACCAGGGTGCACCACAAGGAGGCCTGTCATGTAACACCCCAAAAATAAACTAAACAGAAAGGAAGAAAGAAATAATAATAATACTGATAGCACAAGAGAAAAATGATTAAATAAGAAAGAGCTATTTTAAGAAAGTAAGAAAAAACTTTTGCATGTATCATAATATTTTACTAGGAGGGATGAGAACATATATTTAAGAAAAACTGTGAGTAATTTTAATGATTTTCTGAAATGGAAATAAATAGATAACTTCACTTTTTTGTGAACTCCTGCGTTTAAGGCTTTTGCAGAAGTTAACATCTATGCTAATTCACCGTTATATTCTATACATGTGCAATTGGATTAATAATGTTACTAGCAGCTAAGAGAAAGCCCTAGAATTGAAATTTTGGATTTATTAAACGTCATTATCCCATTTTTCTTTACCATATTTTCCATTTTTGATTCCGGAAAAGTCGCTACAAGTGCTCTTTTTTAATCTGTCTTTGTTCTCTGCTTATATAAACAAGCTTGCTCATTGCACAGTTTGTAAATAAACCATTTGCAAAGTGTTTGAAGTATTGTTTACAAATAAATTCCTTTCACTAGCTAACCATGCAGCTAAAAAAAGACAATGGAATGTATGTATCCAAAAGGAAGAATTTATCTAAAACACAAAATTTGAGGAGATTTATGATGTATTAATGATTTATGATCTATGTATTTATGATCTACTGATGCATGCACAGAGAATGCTCATACAGTCAAAAGTCGTTAATTCGGACACCCATAATCCAGACCTCAAAGCAAAAAACTTTCTGCGCATGCGGCGCGTTGACACATGCGCAATGACGTTTACGCTTGCACGCAAGACCTTTTACGACTGCGCATATGCATGCGCGCAAGCGCAGAATACGTTTTCGCGTGCGCATTTTATGTATAACGGACGGTATAAGCTAAAATTATCTAATTATCTATTTCAGTTAATGTTGATGATTGCGTTGTTCCTTAATCATCGAATTGGATCTGGCTTATTATTTTTTGCAGACTGTAAGAGCAATTTATTAAAAGGAAACTTAATTTTCGATTATGTCAAATAGAATTTTTGATTCTGGAGCTCCCAAAGGATTGTACAAAACGAAAGTATGTTTCAATGTCCATCAAACAAAAAGTGGAATTGCTGCAAAAAATGGATAAAGACATGAAGAATGTGACAGAGAGGTTAATGAAAACAAAAAAATTTCGATTGACAAGTTAGTCGGTATTCTCAACACAGCAATTAACGGGACTTGAACAGCGGAACTTTGTAACTGAACAAGAAATACGTCTGTTTATAGAATTAAAGAGAAAGTATTATCACATAAAACAAAGCAACTTAAACAACTTACATTGAAAGAAATGTTTATTAAAGTAAACAAATTAATATTAAGCTTTTTTTTTGTAAATTTTGATACCCTTTAGATTATAATTGTTCTTTATTTCATAAATTACGGTTTCATATTTTTAATTTTAGAATTTTGGCATGCCATCTTACAAGATTTAAACTGATGATCTATAATCCGGAATCGCCAAAGTCCTGACGAGTCCGGATTAATGACTTTTGACTGTATAACTTCAATAAAAAAAAAAAAAAAAAAAAAATCGTTTTCAAATGAAATATGTGATAAATATAGTATATTTTTTATAAAGTTTATTTGCATATACATGTTAGAAAAATTGATTTCAGATTTCCTATACTGAATTCTCTGAAAATCATTGCTTATTTATTGCATCCAGAAATGAGTACGAATTACAGGCATGTGCAGTTAACAGAATTCGACTGTAATTTTTTTAAAAATTTTGTTTGCATTAGCTACTTGCATGACCAGCATAAAATAATTATAAAAAAGTAAAATATATATAATGGTTTTAATGTGATCATCTAGTGTAATTTTATTTTTAAGGATTTTTCTAATAAACCAAAAGTATTGCTTTTCTGATTATGCTAATTTATTCAATCACTCATGTCAAATGATTCTAGACTTTAGATGGAATAGAAATTATAGTATTATGTAATACTAATGTTACAGTACTTTAATGTTACAGTTACTTTTAATTATATTGCAGAAAGGACTAGAATGAAGAAAAATATTTTAAACTATTTTTTTGCAGTGCATAAATGCATTTTATTGTTTAAATATGGAATATGAAATACAGATCAGCAATTATCTTTCCTTCATATCTTCTCAATTATATTTTTACTATTTTTGGCAGTACTCATATTAGCTTAAATATTGATTAGCTCTTTTGTTTTTATTGAAAGAATCTAATGATTGAGAATACAATAATTATTCTGTAGCAATGATCATATGTGTTATTTTTGTAGTAAAATTCTTGTATATTCTCTATCTGTATAATGAAATTTGGCAAATCTTTCTAAAAAACATCGAAAAAGATCAGGAAAGGAGGCTTAAGCATAATATCACAAGATATAGGATTGATTGTACTATAGAATACTGTACTGGAGAATATCCATTCAGATTATTAGCACAAGTCTAGCTAGGCAAGATATTTATCTCCAGATTGTAGGATATATACCTTTAAAAATTAATTCCATAAAAACTTAAAGGATTCTGTGTAATTAGAAAAATGTTTTATAAATTAAAAAAGAAGGGAAAAAACTGCTGATATTTATAAAATTATTTATTAGATATATCATGACTTAAATGCAATTTTATTAAAATAATCATATATGTTATTAAAAAGTAGTAAAAATAAGATTAAGTACTGTTTTTATTGCTTTTAAATTCCCCAATTTGTTAATCAATAACAGACCGATTAAATATCAAAGAATAATTCAGTCAATAATCAGTAAATTAACTATCTTGTACTTTACCGAATGGCAACACTGGTGTGTAGAGGAAAATGATGAAAGTATTTTATTTTAGGCAGTAGCACCACATTTTTGTTTTTTAAATTGCTGAGTTTATAAATCGAAATTTATAAAATTCATACAAAACATGAAATTTTAAAACATGTAGGCTTCGAAATGTTCACCAATTAAAAAAAAGCAGGTGGGACAGTTCTGTATCTCCTATTCTACTTGGCCAATTGACAAAATTCAACTTGAATTTTTCGTCTTGAAAGCACAACAACATTTCGGTTCTACAACTGAAATTATGTGCCTATATGCCAAATTTTGTAAAATTTGGTGGGAAACATGAAATTCGAAAATTTCTCTTTGTACACTTTTTTTTTATTTTGCACCAAGAATAATTCACTTGGCAAAATGTATAATTTATGGTAACCTGTTTCACCTTCTCTTTCATTGTGCATAGCAGAAGAAAAAAAGGCTTTGTTTATTTTTTCAAATATTTTTCTTTATATTATATTTTTAAATCATAGCTATTATTTTTAGGTAATTTTTCTCCTCTTTTTAGAATTTTAGAATTAAAAACATTTTAAATTAAAATATATGCAAAGAAAGCTATTTTTACTTTGTAATGTCTTGTTGTTTTTCTTCATGCTTTCTGAAAATATATTAAAAATCATTCATCTTTATCTTGTGAAAATTTTCAAAACCTCTTGTATATTTCTGACATTTAAATGAGTAAAGGTATTGGCTTCTGTTTCATCAGTATTTGATCAGAGTAAAATAGGGAAATTACTTTTACCTCAATTCTGAATGTCTTTAGAGGTTAGGCATTTTGAATTCAAGAAATGAAAGAAAAGACTGGTTTCATAAGTAGAGAAAATGTCTATAGAGCATATGATATGGTGTTTGTTCTATGACATAATATAAATTTATACAACCATTCAGCCCCAAAATAGTTGTCCTTTATTTTCACTTGTGATGACATTTCCAGTGTCTTTTCCATTAGCACAAGCCCATTTGCTGTTATATTTGCTGCACTACTCTATGTGAAAAACTAACAAAATATGGTGTAAACCTCCAAATATTTTTTTCTTGAACATGCAAATATTTTGATGTAATTTTTTCCGGAATTTGCTGCTCTTTCATCAAATTTCCTTCTTTTCTACTAAATTTGTTTCTGCATTTCATTTTCTAAATTTATTTCCAGTGTTGACTCAAGAATATTAAGATTTTTTGACAGTTACATTTCCATAAATTTTGTGTTCTTGTCAAACTCTTTTAAAATTTCAGTTACATTTTCAGGTAGACTGCTTTTCATTTTCTATGTATTTTAGCTGTAAGTAAAGTTTAGCAAAGCTCAAAGGAGAAATATTTGAATTAATTTACATTTTAATTTAAATTACATTTTTATTAAATGATAAAGAAATAAAGCATTTCCCACACTTTCTGGTCAACAGAAGAGTCGGCAATTATTCTATCCCACCAAGTGACCTGATCCTTTTAATGGCTGCAAACAATCTAAATCATATTATTTTGACAATTTTTAAGACCACCAATTTCCATTTGAAAGAGTATATATATTTTTACATAATCTGTAATAGTATGCGGGAAAACTAGAAAGCATTCTTTGTAAAAGAATTATTGTAAAAATTTATCATATATTTTTATTTAAAACTGCGGCATGACCAAAACTTTCAAACTCTTAAAGCTTAATTTATCTTTATTAGAAACTATGCACTATGAAATATGTATATGTTATATATAATTTTTACTTTTATGGAAAAAGCAAAGAATCAGTCCAACTCTAATCAAGTTTAAATGAGCCAAAATTGAAGGAACACCCCCTTCAAAAACAAATATTAAAAATTTGACTCTGAGTCAGTATCAGTTTCGAATAGTATGTTTCGATATTCACTTTGACTTACCTTCAAACTTCCACTTCGAACAACCATTCCATCGAAAATATTGACTAACCAGAACTATCCAGAACTTGCACTGAAAGGTATTACAGAACTTTGAACTCTTGATAAACTTGAGCTTTGACCTTTGACACCGGCTCGACTATTATTTTGTTCATGTGCAGAAAGATTAAGGGGTGGATCTACTTTGAAAGCTATTTTCCAGTTTGCATGCATAAAAAAGTGTTAAGGCTGGATGGATAGCTCCTATAAAATAAACTTGGAGTATATTTTTCCTTCTGTGGTCTGACACAGCCAGTCCTCCTTTAGATGTTGTTGTGCCCTTCACTTTGAAAAACAGTGCCCTAGGCAGATAGCTTGCATTTGCTTTTCTGTATTTAAATAATCAGTTAGCCTAATTTATGCATGATTTTTAAACTTATTAAAAAAATCTATCCATTCGGTAAGAATATGATACAGTGCCAGTGGTTGAATTGCCAGATGTTTTTCTGAACTTGGACTGTCATTCATTAAACTCGCATAATTTGTACTTTTTTTCAGAGTTGATGGAAGGAATAGAAGTGCAGGCGTTAAAACTTTGATTGATATAAATAAAGGAATATGTCTACATAAAAGAACAACTTTTTAATTTTTAAAATTATTTTACAAGAATTTAATAAATTCAGATGTATCAGAATTAATAATGTGAAAGTAAATATAACAATAAATCATAATTTATTATATTACAAGTGATTAGAATTCAGAGCTTGACAAGCACATTTTGACTTTGAGAATATTTTTATTCTAAATCCTGTGTTTACATAAGGGTCTTTGATAAATAATATTAGTGGCCTTTTTCAAATGTAAACAACAGTTTATGTAAGAAATATACTAATGCCACAAATTATCTTTGGACATAAATATCATCAGAATCATTTTTATATGTGTTGCCTTTGCTATGAACAGAAAAGAAGAAACAAATCTTATATTCTAGTAAATTTTGCCACTGTTAAACATTTTTGTAGTAAAAGACAGCATGTTTCATTTATAATATTTTTGTCATATTACACTGATGCTAAAAAAATAAGCAACAAAGGCAAAACGCTGAATAAGACAAAAACTGTTTAATGCATATGCTTGAAATTGATCTGAGAGATTAATTACTAGACTACATAGCAAACAATAAAGCAAATGCATACAAAAGCACATGTATATATGCAAAATTTAATTAACATTGCAGAGTTAAAATTTTGATTGGCAATTTAAGAAAAAATTGCTACTGCGATTTTTATAAAACAGGTCACAGAATAATTAAAAATAAATAAATAAATAAAATAAAAAATAAAAAATAAATAAATATTGGCATATCATTTCAGAAAATGTTCAGTTTTATGTCAAAATTTTATATATTTAAATCTAACATTATATCCCAAGTTACACTTTTAGGATATGAAAAATGCAACAACCTGCTGAGTAGAGCAGAGGATATAAAACTTTCGCCTTTTTTGAAGTGTACATGTTTAGGTGTTCCATGGGTTTTACATGTGTTCCAAGTTTGATGGCACGAAAAGACATAAAAATTCTTCACTTATAGCAATTACAGATTACTTTTCCATGACTTGTTCCCATATCAAAATATATAGTGTTTTTCACTGTGTTCTATTATTAGTGCTGGATGAAAGTAGCTTTGTGTTCTATTATTAGTGCTGGATGAAAGTAGCTTGAAAATTGTAAAATTATTTAATTTGTTGTGAATGTTTTTAAGGGAGAAATGCAATTAAAAAAATTAATTAAATCACAAGTATTGGCTTCATGCATTGTAATATCACTACTGTAGATTAAAAAAATATGCTGTTATATACCATAAATAGTATATATGTCCAAAAGTAATAGATGGTGCTGAGTGCATCATTGTTTTCTTTTCGTAAATTATTTTTTAAAATTAGGATAACCTTATTAAGCCATTTTCCTGGGGGTAGGCCAGGAAAAGAGTCGTAGCTAGGGTGTTCAGCACCCAGGGACATTTCGCGCCCCCTACTGCTTGCCAAGGATGGAAAACATTTAATTCTAAAATGTCGTAACATCAGTTTGGCGCCCCTTGGATTCTGCGCCCGGGGACAGATGCCCCCCTTGCCCCCTCTAGCTACGCCCCTGGGGTAGGCAATATTCACTTGTTTATTTTTTGTGAAGCTGCTGTTTACTGAAAAAGATTTTTCTTAATCATTGAGGAATTTTTGTGTGGATTTGATCTTTATGTATTAAATTCTTCGTGAAACAAATAGTAGAAATTTAGAATTTTTATATAGATCATTAGATTTTTCTAAAATTATTCTCTGTAAAGCATGATAAAAGATAATATTGAAAATTTTTTATCTATTTATATTTAGGTATCAGAAGACTCTCGGCCCACTTCAGTTCCTAATCCTCAAGATGGTTTGGCAGGTGCACTTGCAAGGGCTTTACTTGAACGGAGTCGAGCTATTCATCAGACAGGTATTTCTTATTTGATGTTATTATATAATATTTATGTAATATGTTGAACAGTACAGCATTTACTTCTCAATATTCACACATCTCATGCCAAGATTTGCACTAGACATCCAGATGTTGGTTTTTGTTAGCACTAGCACAATTCTACTACACCTATTATTATTTTTTTAACACTACTGACTATACATTTGATTAATTTTCTAATTGAGCAGTTTGCTTTTAATTAATTGTTTAAATCTTATGTATTTCAGATTAGTATATACAATTAAATCATTAAATTATATACAATTGTGGTTAAAAAAAAAAAAAACTTCTGAATTGTATGCCATCTTCTATCACTTTTTCTTTTACTCATTATGCTCTTAATTCTGTAAAAAAAAACTACATCTGAAAGACAGTACAGTTTTAGCTATTACTTAACCTAGCATGACTGTTTACTGCACTAAAGTCACACACAAGCAGTTTGTTTCAGAATTTAGGAAAAATATGCTTGTTGATTATTTGTAAATAGAAAATTGATTGCTAAAAGTTTTTGTACATATTGATTCTATATTAATTTTAGTTTTAGAAAAAAACTGTAATTTTTAAAATTTTCTTGCTTTTAGAAATAAATTTTAACTTATGAAGTTTATAAACTTCTGCTTTCATTTTTCAAAATTTAAAAAAGGTTTTTTTTACTTCCTTGTATGAAGTAAAGGAAGTACTGTAATCATGAAAAATTTCTGTATAATACTTCAATAAAAATATCCTTTTTGACTGCTCTTGAATCCATTGGAGCAATATTTTTGTGTGACATCTGTACGTACGAACAGAACAAAGGACTCTTTTTTCCAAAATGGATTCAGGAGAGGATTTTTTTATGACGTCTGTGTAGGTATGTATGTATTTCACATAACTCAAAAACAAGTAGCCTCATAACATTAAAATTTGCTATATGGGACTATATTGCGCATCACCCTTTTTTGTTGCAATCGGCCACACCAAACTTTTTTGATATATGTATATATATATATATATACACACCACTAGTTTTCTTCTTAGACTTATATTTTGGTAAATTGTGCATTTTTTGCTTTAAAAGCAACTGAATTATTTTGTTCTTATGTTTCGGTTGATTTTTATGCCTTTAGTTAAACTGTATGGAATCATTATAGAATTATTAACAATTTAAAAGTGTTTTAAGTAGTACAAAGCCTAACAAAGCTGCAATTTGTTTACATTTGAAACTTAGTATAATAGTGGATTCAGTCAGTCAGTGCATCATTGTCTTTTTGTGGAATGGGACTGAAAATAAGCTTTCAGTTTTGTGCACTGAAAAATTAGTCTTCTTGTCTGCTGACCGAATTGCTTATTTTTGCATAGAAATTCTAATTTTAATTGTAAAAAAAATTTTTTAAAATTGTTTTTAACTGTATTTGGTATTTTATATGTTCCTGTATTTTACAGTTTTTAATGAAGACGTTTTGAGTTTTATGCATTTTTGCTTTGCCACGAAGTGAGAACTGAATTAATTGAATGAAAAATATATCTCTAATGAAATTCGAAGAAATAAGTTTAAATGAAGTTCAGCAAAAAATGTGTATAATTTCATAGGCTGTGCAAGGAAGTCATGGTGTCCACATCAAATTTTTTTGTTAATTGTAAATATTGAAAGTATGAGAGCAGTATGCATACTATATGCTAATAATACATAAACTTTTCATCAGAAATGCGTTATTATGTGGCATATGTACATATTTACAAAACAATGAAGCTTTTTTTTTTTTTTTATGTGTAGAAACTACCATTGCTTAGCAATATATATCTTGATAGCTGTGCATGTGCGAAATAAGTAGTTGCAACTAAAAAGTGTGTTTGTTTGATAATTGGCCTTTTCTTAATTTTGTTTTTGATTGCCAGTATGAGTTTTAATCAGGAACATTATAGGTATTTGTATTTCTCAAAGGCTAAAATTGCAAGTCTTAATGTTAGTCCTCATAAATTCATGAACCCATTGGGGAAAATTTTCTGTGGACTTCCTGTTTGCATTAACTGTTAAAAATACTTTTTCCTGATTGAGGACTATTTTTGCATACTGAATCCATATAAATTAAAATAACATTCATTTTAAAGCATATATTTTAGATAATAAAACTGCATTAATAACAGTAGCACAGTCAGTAAATATTATAATGCCAATATATCTCTGTACTTATTTAAGGTGAATTGACACAGTACATGATTTTTCTGGTATTTAAGCATTTTTTATAATTAATTTCTTTTTAAACAATACATTTATAGGACTGTGAAAGTCCCCTTTTGTTCTTCATAAGTAAATTTCTGCAAACAGTTGTACGTTCTCTTGAATACTTTTGCTAAGGATTCTTCTAAATTTTATTTGCAATTCTTGAATGCATTAAAAAAAATTAAAAAAAGGCTGCCAATAAGTAATTAAAATAAAAAAAAATCAAAATCATTATTAAATAAAATGTTCAAAGAAATATTGTACCTTTTAATTTTCTTACAGAAAGCAGGGGAAAAAAAGTTTAAGTATCAGATATGCATTAAATATAATGTCAGTAATTTCTGTATGTATTTTTTACAAATTAATAGAAAGTTGTCTGATATTGGTATTTAGATGTTTGTATGATTAGTGTCTCTTTTTATTAAAAATTTTTTTCCTAATTGTTGTTTATCTTCTATTTAGATGAAAGTGATAGCAGTAGTGAAGATGATTATGGTGATGATTGGGACTAATACTGTGTTAGTCTTAAAGATGTATTTTAATGGGTAATTATGCTTTGTGTTTCTTTTGTATCATCATGTATGTATATCAACCAATTGATAGGAAATTAGGTACAGTCAAAAGTCTTTAATCCGGACTCGTCGGGACTTTGGCGATTCCGGATCGATTTTTCCGGATTATAGATCATCACTTTAAATCTGGTAAGATGGAATGCAGAAATTATAAAATTAAAAATATGAAACTGTAATTTATGAAATAAAGAGCAATTATGATCTAAAGGGTATCAAAATTTACAAAAAAAAAAAAAAAGCTCATATTTATTTGTTTACTTTATTAAACATTTCTTTCAACGCGCGCATGCGTAAAGCATACGTTACGCATAGTCAAAATTAGAAAATTGCAACCAGAAAACTATTTGATGTGTACTCGATATTTATAATGATGAGGAATTTGATTTAAATCATATCAAAGACGGAATACATCAAGATGAAATACTACATTTAGTAAGGAATTATAAGCGGAATAAAATAAAAACATCTGCCCTGAAGATAAGGATAGTGCTGACAGATTAACTTCAAGTTCATTGCACGCCACAACGTTCCCCCCTCCCTTCGCAGAGCAGCGCGAATTACTTTTATAAAATTGCTCTAACAGTCTTCAAAAAATAATAAGACGGATCCAATTTGAAGATTAAGGAACAACGCAATCTGAAATAGATAATTAGATAATTTTAGCTTAGCTTATACCTTCCATTATACATTAGATGCACATGCGTAAACATATTATGCGCATGTGCACATGCATGTTCGCATGCATAAAAGTATTACGTGCTTGCGTAAACGCCTATGCGCATGTGTGAACACATTATGCGTTGACGCATGCGCAAAAAGTTTGTAGCTTTGAGGTCCGGATTAACGACTTTTGACTGTACTGATTTTCTGTATGCACATCGGATTGTGAAAATCAATGACAGTGCTGATATGAAATAAGAAAATTAAAAATAATTAATAGATAAAAAATATTAAAAATAATTTTTTAAAGGAAAAAGATTAATTGCAAAATTAAAATTAAGTTCCTTGCAAAATTAAGTTAAACTTCCCTGAAAATTTAGTGCTACAGCTTGTTTTCCAAAGCTTAGCCAGTTTCATTTATTTACTTTCATAAAACATTTTAAAAACATTGTACTCATTTATTAGCCTGTTATAGCAGAATTTGAAATTCATTTATCACATGTACACTACTTTCCTTACTTTAGTATTTGTGATTAGCACAGAAATACAGCTTAACTATTGTATTTGTTTATATTTTAAACTTAGAAAGGAATCTGATATTCTCTATATTTTTCTTGGAAAGAGTCTGACATTTTACTTTTTGTAATACTTAATCATTGGAACATTATAGCTGTCACCTTTTCCAGCATTTCTAATAAAAGGCATGTACTTGGTGATCTTGAGCAAAACTAAGATGGAACTAGGCAGATGGTACTTGTTCTTTACCTTATATACTTTAGGAACTTTATTTATGTGCTGTGAATGAAAAACAACCACAATGACTCATAATTTATATGATTATTACCTCCCTTCTCCTTATATGACACATCCTTAAAAAAAAAAAACAAATTCTATTTTTTAACATTATGAAATTAACTTGCATAATCTTTATCATAGCTTTTCTAGTAAAACTTCCATAATTAAATATTCCAAATCCAGTAAAATATTTTAGATTTTTCTTTTGCAGGGAAAACAGTCTTTAATAGAAAATTATAAATGATGTTTTCTTAATTTTTTGGGGTTGGTATTTTATAGTTTTATCAATGCACAAATTTCAAATTATTCTGTTATGGAATTTTCATGAAAATTTTTTTAAATTTAATTTTGTGTGTTTTCCCCCTTCCTCCTTTTTACTTCCTTATACAAAGAAAAGGAGGTATTGTAATCGCAAAATTTTCAGGTATCATTGTTTCAACGAAATTATCCATTTCAACCCCTATCGAAAACATTTAAGCAATATTTTTGCATGACATCTGCACGATGGACAGAATAAAGGACTTTTTCCCCCAAAAGGATTTTAAAATGGATTCAGAAGAAATTTTTTCTTGACATCTGTACGTACATATGTATCTCGCATAACTCAAGAATAAGTAGCCACAGAATGTTGAAATTTTGTGTATGGGACTGCTATAACATGTAGTTTTGAACCTCCCTTTTTTGTCGCAATCTGCCGCACCAGTCTTATACATATATATATATATATATATATTCCCACTCTGTTACCTGGCTTGGTGAGCTGAGTTTTTTTTTTTTTTATTCTTATTTGTCATTAAATTGTGCATTTTTTGCCTTAAATGTGATTGAATTATATGGCTTTTAAGTTCAGGTTAAAATTCTTATGCCTTTAGTTAATCTGCATGCAATAGTTGTAGAATTATCAACAATTTAAAAGTTTAAGTGGTGAGTTAAGCCTAACAAACCACTATTTGTTTATATTTAAAGCTCAGTAGAATAGTGAATTAAATCAGTTTCTGCACCTTGAATGTCTTTTTGTGAGTGGGATCAAAAGTAAACTTTCAGTTTTGTACACCTAAAAATCGCCATTCTTGCTTGCTGGCCAAATTGCTTGTTTTTTGCATAGAAACTGGAATTTTAATTCTGAAAATTTTTCTTTAAAATTGTTTTAACTATATTTGGTGTTTTTTGTTTTTGTGTATTTTACAAATTTTAATGAAGATGTTATGAGTTTTTATGTAGTTTTGCTGTGCCGCGAAATGAGAACTGAATTAATTGAATGAAAAATAGGTTCGAGAAAATAAGTTTAAATAAAAAGCATAAAAAATGTATAATTTAATAGGCTATACAAGGAAGTCATATGGTGTCCACATCAGATTTTTTTTGTAATAACTTCTTCATCTAATTTATCTTTTTCATAGGAACATTTTCTCATTAAGCAGCTCAGGTAAGATTAAATCTCTGCGTCGAATTAAATAATTTAAGTATCCAAGGATGCATGTACATTCCCATTACAGACTTTAAAAATAGTTCCACCATACATCCAATCCAAACAATCTATATTTGAATAGAAACATATGTTTAGAAACACTATCTTTAAATACTATAAATAAATGACTAAAGAGAAATAAAGGGCTACAAAGAAGATATTAAATGTATTTATTAAACATAAATTTATAGTATGATAGTAATGTGTAATAATGTTGATCCATGGATTAATGACTGTGCAAAAATGTTAATCATATTGTGGATACATCCAGGCTGAATTCATACTGAATTCATCATCATACTGAATTCATTTCTGATGATGAACTGGTACAGGTTTTATTCCTTAATGAAACAAAAAAAATGAGAAGAATATCTGCACTCTCTTGCTTGGTGTACTGCCCTGCATAGCCAAAACAACCATAATATTGGCAATACATGCACTTTTTAAGATAGTTTTTGTTTTTTCCCACTGAATGGCCTATCTGTGGATTATATATGCATTAGAAGTGGATAAGAAAATGGATGCCCATACACATGGCACAATTTTTGACCAAGAAGTTGGCTGTTCTATATGGAATATTTTGTATGGATTTTAAAATTATTTGTCATTTCTTGCACTGTATAATGGATGTAATTTATTCTATTACATCCTTGGTGCTCATCCCATGTATGACTGTGGTTTTAAAATTTGTGCTAAAATATACATGAACATATACTCAAAAGCCTACTAAATGTTTTCATATACCTGCCAAGACTTCTAAAGCAACAAGTATTCAAATATTTGTTTTCAGAACAAAAAGTGCTGAAATTTTAACTGCCTTTATTGAAAAAAAATTATACATATATTCTGGGTTTTTCATGGAATAAGAAATGCACTAGGTGTTAATCTTCAGATTTTTTTTCCCTTTTTTAAAATAAAAATCAAGAAATATAATTCTGAAATCAAGAGATCCCTGACCTCACTAAAGCATTATAAGACCTTTCACCAGGTATTGATTTCACCAGGTATTGATTCCCTTATTAATTTTTTAAAATTTATTTATTGTTTTTAATTTCATTATTTCTTTAATAATTTAATTCTTAATTTAATACATTATCCATTTGATTGCAAGGGTGGCTAAGTAAAACATAACTGCACTTCTTAAAAACTAGTATTACTATTATTTAAAAATTTTCCAATTTAGTTATGGCAGGAAAAATTTTATGCTTATTTTTTAGTAATTAAATCCAAAATAATTCTAAACGAATTATCGTTCATTTCAGGATTTTTAATGCTTTTCTCTAAAGTCTACTTAGTGATTAATTTTGCCTTTCGTTATTTAGGCTATTAGGTTTAGCAATATTATTCTGCTTCCTTCAGACTAAAATTGTTTTCATCAGTTTCTGTCCCTATAGTCACATTACCAAAACTCACCATCCATACATAAAGAGCTTATTTGAGTTGGGAATTATTGATGATTTTACATTTCTAGTTTATAATATAAATTAATTATTCTTAAAAATTGTGCATTTATATTTTGAATTTTATACAATGTATCATATCAAACTTACCTTTTTTTTTTTTTTTTTTTTTTTTTTTACAAACAGTGATGACAGTTAATTTAGGGAATTAATTTATGACAAAATATGGAATTAAAGTGATATTTTATAATATTTTGCATTTTATTTTCTAGGAATGATGATGAAAGTTAAATGCATTTGTAGAATTTATCTATAGGAAAACATAGAATGAAAGTGATATGCTTATAGTAGTTTACATTTATTTTCTAGGAATTGTCAACTGTAGGTGATAATAGTTGCCATTCCCAAATGTAGAAAAATTTATCTGGAGAATTTTATTCTTGAAAACCCTGTGATGAAAATGAATGAGAGATGCAGTATTCTTTGTTGAAAATGATATCATTATTTTTCATCAGTGTAATTAAATATTTATTTATCTAGTATTTTTCTAATTCATTAATGTATTTAATAAACCAGTTTACACAGAAATAATCAGTATTATTATGTAATACAGCAATAAATATCAAGTTGATTTTACATAAGTATACAAAGTTTCTTCATAAAATTTTTAATAGCTCGTAAAATCGTAATAATGCCATAGTTTTTTTTTCTCCCTAGATCCAGGCATTTATTTACAAAGTTGAGAGACTTTTATATGTGTACGAATTATTTAACATTAAAACACAGAAAAGATTCAAATTTCATCAGAAAATTCCAACAAATTTTATGACCCTTTTTAAGAATTTTTTTAGTAATGTGTCTTGCTTCCTGCTTGAGCAAGTGCTTTTAATGACAGTCAGCAATAGTAATCTGGCAAAGGTCCTGCTTCAAAATGAGGCCAGTTTTTGATAAGGTTATAAAATGCATCTCCTGGACACTCTGTACAGCAGCTATCTCTGTGGCCATGTAATTTGTAATCATCTTTGATATATTTCTGAAAATTATATAAGAATTTACTGAGTTAAGTTTGGCTTTTCTTGCCAGTATGTTTTATCATTAAAATGAATAAATACATACTATTGTTATAAAAATATGATAATGAGTTCAAGTATTCTTTAGTAAAAGTACTAGCTTAACATTTGAAAATAAAATAAATCTGGTAATAAATTACGAGTGACAAATACTGTTTATTTTTTTCTAATGGTATTCACTTACCATAAAATAATTTATAAATATTTATAATCAAAATTACGCTTTAAAATGTGTTGTATCAGCTTATCATTTATAAACTTTAGATAATACTGAGTACTTAAAGCACTTAGTGCCTTAAAATTTAAGTAAACTTACTCAATATATCAGTATTTAAATAAATAAGTAAATAAAACTTTTTAAAATCAGTAACAGCCAATATCCAAAGTTGAGAATTTTGCACCTGTCACATTACGTCTGTCACATTTTCTGTATTAGGCCCATTCTCAAGAAACTAGTATGCTATATGCATTCAGATAAGAAAGATTATTCTGAGAAAATGTTTTGTAATATGTTCATAAAGCTCATAGTCTTTAATCGAGTCCTTTGTCAGTTTTCAAATAGCAGATTTTCCATTTTAGAAATATGAATAATTTTATGAAGATCTGAGATTTTCATGAATAAAATATAAGGATGCATTCAGTATTTAAGAATTTTAATGCAAGTTTAGCTGAAGAAGGGAGAATAAATTAAATAAGTTTATAATACGAGCTTCTTTATTAAAAAAAACTATGACTTCTTGTATAAAATGCTAATCCCACTTATTTTAACTTTGCATATTTTTAACTAAAATTAACATTAAATTAATTTTTTTAAATAAAAACTATTATTATAATAAAAATATACTCACTTTCTGCAATGCACATTGAATCAACTTATTTGTTGTATTAAGCATTATTTCAGAAGGTTCATGAAATGAAAAATCACCCATCAGAGAGAAACCAATAGCCTTGGAATTGTATCCTAAGGTATGAGCACCTACTGTAGTCCAACCACGACTTATGTATACTCGACCATCACCACCAATCACAAAATTATAACCAATATCATTCCATCCTGGAATATATGTGAAATAAACATATTCTCAGGCTTAAATTCGATTCATACAAATCATAATGTATCTGCTTAACATTAAAAAAATTTTTTTCATAAATGAAAGCATAAAATGCCAGATGGGATTAAAACACTATTTTTGCATTTGCTAATTATTTTTTATTGAATGTACGTTTTTTGAACATGGGGCATTATAAATATCATTGTTAACACCTTCTGATAATTTCAGAAGGACATTAAAGCTGCAGTTTCAAAGAAAAAAATGTCCTTCTAAATAAAGTGAAATCATTTAACTACATCAACAAGAAATGGTAAAAGAAACAAATTTAGGAAGGTTTAATCAGGTCTTAAGGAAAATCACCACATATATAAATGGCCTGTTAAAAGGATCTTATATCTCCCATAAATATATATTGTGAAATGACCAATATTATATTTTGTCATAAATTTGAGATAAAAAAAATTCTGAAAATACAGACATGCAGATAAATGAATCAGGGATGACAAAATTATATACAAATAAGGTGGTATGTTTTTTAAAATCATAATTTTGAAAAAGCATGTAATATTTGCATGCTTGATATGATTATTTAATTTGAAGTAGCTTAGTAATTTTTTTTAAAATTTCCATTCCTTAAATTTGTTTCGTTTTTGTTAAATTTATTTCTGATTTATGCATATTTACTCTTTCTTCACATTTTACATATTACTTGTAAAATTACAACTTTGTGAAAAATTCTGCTTGTACCCAACATATACGTAATTGTTGCTTGAGTATCGGTTCATAATGGATTGAAGCACACAGAGAACCGATGACAGTTTGATAAAATTTATTTTTCCTAAAGAAACACTTTGCAGTTCTGGAACTTTTCACAAAAGTACTAATTCAGCTCTTCTCAATATGACAGAGCACAATTAGTAGTTACCACTTCAAACTATAATAACGTTAAACACTACAATGAAAAGGACATCCAAAGAGCGAAGTCATATGGTCTCTCAATACTCTAAAGTCATCTCTGAACTAAAACCTGAGAAACTGATGCTTTCTCTGATCTTGTAGTTATACCCTGGCAGTCGAGAAATCTCTAGTACCTTCCATTTCTTGACTGTTGCATATAAGGGCTGGATATGGTTACAGTTACATTATAACAATAAATTACAATTATACAGGGAGCAGGCCAAAAAGTCATCAAATTTGATGATAAAAATTAGTCGTGGAAATTTTCAAGTGACACTTCTGGGGCTGGTGACGGCTGTGCCTTCTGTTGCTTTCTCTGCTCATACCTTGCTTTGTAGGCTTCACAACCACGGAAGCTACTGACATGTTCCCCACCGCAAAAAATACAGCAGGGCTTGTCCTCTGGTTTCTTGAAGCACATTACTGCGTCCGCACTTAACACACCTTTCATCATTTATTACACAAATGCTGCGAGTGCCCGTACGACTGGCAGTGAAAGCACTGCGTTGGGCGTTTCCTAGGATTGTATTTTTCGACGTGGACTTTGAAGTTAAGCATGTTATTGAGGTGAAATATCTGGTCGCTCTCGGCATTCCGCTTCAATTCGAGAAAAAATATGAGCATTATTTATTTTACTCCTCTCCTGGATCTAATGAATTGCTTGACCTTAACCAAAGGGAACATTCTACACACAAGATTGCTGTGGATCACTTCTTCTTTCACGGATGAGGGTAAGTTCCTTAGGACCACATGGATATTCTTCTCACTTTGAAGTTGATACATGTGGAAAGGTATCGACTTGTCTCTTAATGCTTTTGCAGCATTTTCGTAGTCGTTTACGTTCTTAACGTATACATGAACACTCCTGTTTTTCGCATTAGATTCGTATGCCTCCGCTCAGTGCTTCTGCAAAAGCTCATCCACTTCCATCCAATCAGTAGCCTCATCTGGGAAAATTAGGGGAGGGGGTGTTTCCACTGCAGTAGCTCCTCCCTCGCTGTTCACAGGATCTCCTTCTACCAGTGTTTGGAATTTGTTCACCTGAGTAATATCCATAGGTTCAGGAATAACTGGCTGCTTGGCTAGATTCCTGGGCTGCTTCCATTCAGCATCAGCTTTCATTGTAGATTCTCCATCAGACTTCAACTTTTTCTTCTCTTGATCACCATCATTTTGGGAAAATTCCACATCTCGCCGGTCGGTCTGCTTCTGCTTTAGAATAGGCACATTTTCTCCGAGAACTTCTTCGAATTTTTCTGGCTTAAAATGAGCTAACAGCACTTGCAGGGTTTCCTCCAAAAAACGATCAGTAGTAGCAGGTCCTTTCTTTGGCGGCACAGGATCCAGGACTTGCTTAGCCTTTTTCTTCTTTGGTTTTTTTGCAGCCTACTTAAGTAGGAAATCTTCTTTTCGAAATGGGATTGGTTGCGATTTTGTCGAGATTAAAAGAATTAATCGAGTCCTGACTCATCTCATCCTCACTAATATCAGTCGATGTCCTATAAAAGGACATTTTTTAATGCACCCGAGGGCACAGCAGCAATGAAAAATATTTCAGTACTGTACAGAAAAACTGCAGTAGCAAAGAAACTAACTGAACAACGCTGACCGCCTACTTGACTAGGTCAGCAAAAAATCAAATATCAGAGCGTATCCAAAAGTGTACTACATGTTCAGCATCTCTGAACCAAAAGAATCAGAATGTGAAATTCCTTACTTTCTCCAGCAGCATTTAAATACCATTCCCACTTAATCATGTGCCCTCCACATCATCCAGACGAGTTCATTGAAACATGTGGGGATGGTCATAATGTTTTGCCTCATCAGTGTATATTCTTACTAAGTATACTGGCAGTCGTACATTCCTTTACAAAGATTGTCACTGATGCTAAGCCATGGATTACTCTTGCTATGGTGCTGGTACAGGACCCTTTAACCCTGGAGTACTACAGTAGTTGCTGAGGACACTAATACTACACTGGGGAACTGTATACCCCCATAGAGTAAAAATGATCTGGGGAATCTAATACCACAGTATAGTATTCCAGGGTTAGACAACTAAATAGCACAGGTTAGTGGACAGAGGGAGTCTCAGTTCTGTTTCACCAATGACAGTCGCCAAGCTGGAGTTTAGTGGAGGCGACTTTGAGACAAGTTCAGTCCTGCTTTAATTCAATGCCTATGTTCTATAATGCCTATCGTGGTTTGGGATGCCACTGCCGTGGATAGCCAATCAGTTTTGGTTCGTATCAAAGGCACAATGGTCATTGTGATCTGATGCACAATGTCATCTGATGTATGTTTTCAAATATTCGACAATGTAATTACATGAGTGAAAAGTATAAAGCGTAACAAAAATAATACTTTGATAACCTGAAAGCTCTTTTAACATCATATCACATGCCAAGTTCTTTGCATGTTATCAAATAGATAAATAAAATAAATAACATAAATCTACCTCTTGTATCCATGTGCAAATCCTGTATGGCTCTCATGTTCTGGCAGCAGGAATGAAAATCTGAGCATTCTTCCAACGCAGTGTGATGAATGAATGTGTGATCGACTGGTGTATTTAGTATTTCGGTGGGACCCTTCTGGGAACGAGCTCCCCAGCTGGAACGTGGCACTATTTCCAAATCCCCGCATCCTGTAAGAGAAAACATTGTTGTAGCATGTTTAATAAAGAAAATGTTTGAAATTTTAAACAGGGTGGTTAAGAAAAATTGCGCAAACATATATCTCTTAGCGATATTAGATTTCTAGTTCCAGTTTAAAAAAGGAATAAAATTAAAAAGATTTTTAGACTAAAAAGTTTTTGTCATGTGACTTTTTTTTTTTTTTTTTTTTTTAGTAAAATATATAATACGTGAAATTATTGTAAGATCTTCGAACTTGTCTGTGAAGAAAGTATAATTTATTGAGTGTGTGTTCTTGGGGTTTTCAGCAAAGGAACTCTGTTACGCTGTAATACACATTTGCTGGCTGTAATACACATTTGCATATATTCTGTATTATTATCTGTAATCTGCAAATTTCAGGGTAACGTTTCTAATTTCCCTTCTGTACAATCACTCTCCTTTATTCTGTAATCCACCGTAAAGATCACCTACATTGTCGTATTCTTGTCCAGACAAAAATTGTGTAGTGACAGAAAGATGTATTAATCCATTGAAAAAGTATTCGGGAACTGCGACATAACAAATAAAGGGTTGCATCTAGCTAACGCTTCCATCCGCCAGTGTTACCTTAAAGCTATGACGCGAATTATCGATTTTAGCTTAGTTTAAATAAGCAAATGCAATAACGAAAGCCAATACAGTTTTAACATAATTTTATTCTACCTTCCTGTGTTAAAATAAAAACCACCAGAGTAATAAAGCCACCTGAGTAAAATAGAAACCACCAGAGTAATTAAGTCATCTCAGTAAGATAGAAACACCTCACCACCACATTTAAAATAAAAAAAATAATATAAAACTAAACATAAATCTTGACTTGGTAGGGAAAGCTGAAAAGTATAAATCACTTGATTATAGTATAAATATTTTTTAGCAAGATCCACAACACTGTAGGTCGTACAACCTAAAATTCTAAATCAAGATTAACTTAACAATATTTCTAAGAACATAAATAACGTAATATCCAAATTTATGTCTCTGAACGTTCTCTGTCTGTGACAATCATATCCATTTAGGACTAAAATAGTTTGGAATCGCGGGGAATCATTTTAGAAATGATTATTATTTGCCTTATGCTTAGCCTCCTTTTGTAAAACTAGAGCATGCCACTCGTGGCTATATTGTCTCAATTATGCAGTTGTTTAAAAATTTCTTTGTTCTATACATCACCTATTTAGGTTTGTGATGTCGTTAATTGACTCATTGGCTGTCTGTAAAATGCATTTGTAAAATCTGTATGTAAAATGGCCATTTGATCACACAGGAAAAATGCATATTCAAAGTGCAATACTGTTTAATAAAAGAAGCACGTTCATAGTGTTTTCTAAGGGTAAGTTTAGTATAACATTGTGGAGTGGCGAAGCGGAGTGAAATGCTTTGTTTAAATGGGCCTTAGACTGTAAAGGAAACAAAAGGGTAGACAGTCTTATTATTTTCTTGAGAGACATCCCATGGGGAATGAGATGAGGGGAAAAAATACATCAGTCGCCTTTTCTTGGGGCGATGTAGAAGAACATGTGCGGCGTCTAACTTTAATTGTTACACGGCTATAATCGGTTCTAGAAGGGTAGTGGAGCGACTGAGATTGACCAATTAAATTCATATAAAGTGTGGTTGCATCAGAAGATGGCTTTTAATTAATAATTAGTTGAGTAAAATAGGAGTGATGGTGTCGAAAAGAAGGGCTTTTTGCTTTGAGATAGATCAGAGTTTAACAATGTAAAGAAAAAAAAGGTTGGAAAAAAATATTTTTGCGGATGCTAGCTAGTAGAGGGGTGTGAAAAATGGAGGAGAAAGATCCGAGTAATGCGGTAATGATTCTCGAGAATATGAAAGATAAAAGAGAAATAATTGAAGATACCGGCCTCTTGGAAGATGTTCAGCTGTATTGAATGATTTAGAGTAAGATGAAGGAGAAAGACGCTAACGACAAATCCCCTGAGAAGGAAATGCGGCGATTTGTTTGGTGTTCTTATCACGATGAATGTAACGCGAAGAAATAATGAAGTTATGTCTCCAAAAGAGATGATTAAGCGAAACTTTCTTCGAGATTATTTTTTAATGAGTGAAGGAAATAAAGAGGTGCTTGAGCATTCAAATTCCTCATTTAGCGACTTATAATATCGGCTTCGGGTTCTGCCTCATGATGTGATCCGGGCATTATGTTCCTGATTCAGGACCTGTTCTGAACTCAGCTAGAGACTTAGAATATCGGCTTCCAACTTGTGATGTGTGAGGATAAGGTTGAGTCTTCCTGTCTAATACGTGCAATAAAGAGACTGTTCCCGAACTGATATTTAGTGTGAATGGAAGGGGTTACTCCATTCTGCGAAAAATAACGAAAAGTGTTAAGGACTTTAAGTGACTGTATTAAGGACACAGTTATTTCAATTCATTTGGAATTGTACATAAATTCATTTGGACCCTGAATCTCAGATAGTTATTCCTCAACATTGCGTAATTTTTTTTGTTGTTTTTAAATGAACCCCGAAGTCTGCTCGTGTAAGTATCCTTTCCCCCTTCTTAGTTTGTAGAGTTCATTATATAAGTCTGAATTTTTGAATGTCAATGTGCATTAAGAAGTTGAGTCCAAGATAGCATAAAGTCATTATTTGTGAATCTGTTGCGAATTTAATATGTTATGTGGTACTAAGGGACTTAAAAATGAATATTTGCATAGCTGTGATTCTGTGTTTATCTGTCTATGTAAGTACAGTTAAAGAATTTTAAATTAGGTTTTCTTATCGAAACTGGGTAAACGGGTTTGCGTCTGTATTAAATTATAAAGTATTCATTTGGAAAAAAAGATTAAAAACTATAGTTTCTAATTTTTGTGATTAATTATTCAACACCAATATATCCTAGAACGTTTATCAATATTTTTTTCATGATTATTCACTAAATTAACCTACTCTGCACCATTTCTTGCTTGAAATACCGTGTTAGAATCTTTTTTTCATTTAGTCTTCCAAGCTTCATGCAAACTAAAAGCCTTAGCTTGAATAATTAAAAAACTCAGAGAGGCATTGTTTTGATGTTGATCATTAATCTATGATGAGAAAGATCTTTCCATCTCGTTCATCATTATGCCCTACCTTTTGGAAACCATCTTTGCAGGTTTAATTCCGCAACTTTAAACGTATTCTTTAGTTTTATTGTTGTTTTTCAAAATTGAGCAAATCCTAGACCTGTTATTTATGCCTTACGAACGGTCGATTGAAGTAAAAGATACAAGGCTATCAAACGTCTAACTATTTCTATCTTTTTTCCGCTTGAATTGAATGAATCCTTAATTACTTTTTGTTCCTATGAATGTTACAGTCTCTCAGCGAAATATTTAAACATAAACAAATAAATTGGGAAAACACGTGCTCTAATGAAAGAATGAAAAACGTGTTTAATACATTGCTTACATTCGCCCCCACCCCAGCGCGGCTCTGAACCATGGGCCTTATATAAAAGGAAAGGTTCATCCTCTGAACCTAGTGACGTCACAACGCGAAATTCGCTACTTTAGAAGGCAATGTGCGATTTTTCAGTATAGACAAAAAATCTTTAAAAGAATTGAATTTTTAATATTGTACGAAATAGAGAATTGTGCGAAAGTCGGAGTGACCTCCTCTGTTTATTTGTATATCAATTTGAGAGGCGACAAATTCAGGAATAGGCCGAGGCAGCAAATGTTCTAGCAACGCCACTAACTTCAGCACAAATGCATAAAACTGCAGGGGTGGGGAGAATAATTTTATTATGTAGATATTTCAGTAATAAATATGCCCATTAGACTGCCTTTCATTTGAAAGAAAAAATTAATTCATTGTTATAAACATTCATGGTGTCTTCCAGGTGACACCTGATTTACTAAATGCGAACTCGACGTCTGTGTGAACTAATACAATAAATTAACAGCAACACAAATAGTTTGCTATGCATTGAACACCTGAAAAGTTGAAGCGTTAGAATTAAACTTTTGTCGTCTATTCCAAGGAAGAATGTTTTAAAAATATAGAATATTGCCGTTCTTTGGTTGACGATTATTTAAATGTTTTACAATTATCATATAAGGAAATAAATATTCAGTGTAATGATCTTCTTTATCGAGCATTGCTTAAAGACAATCTATTATTTCACGTACCTTATGAAACATACAATGATGAGACAAATTATAACACATATATTTTTATACCGCGTCGCTCCAGATTTTGTGCTAACAATAGCAGCAGTACATCTAGGAAGTGATTTGACGAATTGCTGAAAGGAAAATGGTTGGCAATCCTGCAGTTTCTTCGGTAAGTCGTCACAGAACAGGATGGTTTAGTGCACAGAATGAAGAGATCATTGCAACTTGCTCTATAGGTACGCGAGAAGATTTGTATTCGATAACCTTTTAGCCAGCGGCTCGTACATCATTGGTTCAGTCATTGTGATCATTTACTTGATCACATCGCAGGTGTTTATAACAACATATACATTTCTGTAGAGATCATGGGTATAAACTGCCGAACAGAATCCTTTACATCGCCAATGATGCTAGTTTTTGTCTTTACACTTGTGACTTTTAGACCAGGGGAGTTTTATGTTGTGACGCATTATCTAATTGAAAGAGTAAATTATTGAAAGTGAACAAATGAGTGTAGATAATCAGTCAAAAGTCAGGCCGAGCTCGTCAGGGTTTCATCCAGTCTGATTAGAGGACTCGGTAAGACCACATAAAGATTCCAAGGATAATTGCCGCCACTGGCCTGTTCAATGCCTGACAGGACGGATGCAGTTTGCGCCCCAAGATGTTCGTCAGTTGTTACAAATAAGCTGCACCAGTTGTCCACGAACAGTCCTGCCAACAAAATGTGCAGTAACGCTGTTTGAAAGATCTGCATTAAAATCCGTTTATAATAGGATACAACGAGTCTCCGAGCACCTTGCTCATCAGTAGCTAGTTTATGGCACATTTTTCTGGATACGCATGGTTTTTCTTCTTTCGAAGTGCTGTTGGCACATCTCTGCAACAATACGGCGTGACAAGCCCAACAGTGCGGCTGTTGTTGATATCGAATATTCAGCCATGCTAACAGTTTGTTCGCGATTAAACTGGCTCAGATCGTTGGCTTTAACTTACGATAAATATTTTTAACTTGCCAGTCAAAGGTCTATTATTTATACACTGTGGCACCAACGAAGGCCAGCGGCTCGTACATCATTGGTTCAGTCATTGTGATCATTTACTTGATCACATCACAGGTGTTTATAACAATTGCCTTTTCAGTACATTTCTGTAGAGATCATGGGTATAAACTGCCAAACAGAATCCTTTACATCGCCAATGATGCTAGTTCTTGTCTTTACGCTTGTGACTTCAGGTATCCTTACAGTCAAACATCGCAGCAGAAATGCATGATTCTAGATCTGATCAAGTCTCCTGTATGGTCCATTATGGTGAGAATGACTGGTTATTGGCCTAATTCTGTCCAAAATTAGAGAATAAGAGTACTTTGCAAATCAGCACAGTGATCGTCTGTGACAGTGACAGTTTTAGAGACATATCCATAGATTTTCTCAAAGAATGATAGTCTTGTCACAAAAGTTGAAGTAAAAAATACTTGCTATTATTTGGTGCAGTGCAGTTCCCTCTAAACCAGTAGATTATCTTCTTTCCAGTTCTGCAAGAGCACATCGAGAGTGAAATGTCACTTTCGTCCGAGGCCAGTTTTCTGAAAACCATACTGTGAATGCTTTCCTAACTTCAAATCGGCAGCAGTCATTAAGATACTGAATTTTATAATACTATATGTAAATAGTACTTAGTCTTCGACACCAAGGTAACCCCAAAATGCTAGAATCTTCACAAGAGTTTATTTCTGCATGCGCTGATGACAGCAGTAGTTTCTTTCAAATGTTTAATTCTTTTGCAACTGCAATGATAGTTGGAATACGTGTCACTAGTCTTCCCGACTATTGCACATTCCTCAGAAAGCATTTTTGTCAAATTTCATAAATTATGGTCAATACTGCTGTTGTCAATGGTTCTTTATGTACTACTACGTTAAGCTTCTAGCTGGCCCTAGGAAGAAAAATAATAAATTGGGCCCATTTCTGTAAAGTGCTTCTAGTGAAATTTGAAGTAATGCCATTCGAAAGTTTATTAATAATACAGAATACCAACACTAATGCAATAATAATTGTCTAATAAAAGAGTATCTCGTTTAATCAAAAGCATGCAAAAGTATATTAATCAGCCCTTAAAAAATGTTCATTTTTCATTTTATTTTCAATTTTCATTTCAGAAAATGAATCAATAATATCTTTTCAATTTAACGGTTCGAGAGCCTCTTTTCTATAGCAAGCGTAAAGACCTTATCTTTTCCTATCCTATTTAATTTTTTATAACATTCTAAACTAGTTTTGAAACGAAAAAATGTCTTTTCTGTTGTATTACTTACAACAGTAGTTAAGTAAATTTTCAAAAACATTTCGGCATTAAAATAAAGACGACGAAATGATGTCAGTTTTTTTAAATTCTTACATATCTTTCGGGCGTTCCAAATTTGTTTTCTGTCCATTAAAATAAATTGTGTTAGCTCACAATCTCCATATAACCTAGAAATCGATAATGCTCACACAGAAGTTCGCGAAAACTTATTGAGTTCTTCTTCCTAGCACTGTAAACTAGAATGCAATACACGCATTAATTTTGGATATAGCATATATGTCGTTCTTTTTTCATCCCTTCTTATCCACACACATTCTGTATATTGTATTTTGTAGATAATGCGTAATGTATTATTTTGTAGAGACATAAGGATTTTTTTTAAAGCAGGAGTGATGAAAAATTAGCAAACGCCTTCGCCGGGAATCGAACCACGGACCTCTGGAATACCGGCCCAGCGTGCAGAACCACTACACCACGAAGGCACGCTAGAAAAGCGGGAGAAATACCTTTTAATTTCATTATATTGTTTAATTCCGGTTCGCAGGACTTTGTGGTATGCAGACATGTTTGCTGCATTATGGTAACTTCAATCTCTGCAGATATTTATATCTAACAAATTTAGTTGAGCCCAGTACTATGGTTTCCAGTCACGTACCAGTAAGCGAATATACAGGTAAGAAGCAAACGAGTTTCACACGTTGACCATTGTCTAATAGTTAGGAGAGTTTGCCAGTAAACTGATTACACTATATCAGATGTAATATTTAATTAAGGTGTAATTAAGGCATAGTATTTTGATTTCAGTTTTTAAGCGTTGAGCCCATTTTCATTGAAAATTTCGATTAATTCATCCCATAATGTCGATAATAAATAATTTGTATTTTTTCAGTCATATTTTTATGTATGAGATGATAAAAAATGCATCAGATTCAGTTAGAATTTTCAATTCTGCAATGTCGTTTCCACTAAAACTGGCTAATAATCTGAAACATTCATTATCAGCATGAAATACAAGTGAAGATTTCCTGAAAAATTTTATAATAGCAAACACTTCTTGAAACATCTTTTGTCACTTTCATTTTTGTTTATGAAGAGTTTGGAAATCTGAATCAATATGATCGTGCGTAGAACTTCTTGCTACGAATGTCAAAATGGAGTTCTTGGGTTTCCAGTGAATATTCATGTTATTCAATTCTTATATTTTAACATTTTTTCAATACTCGTGGCCTTCTGCAAAATATGTAACTAAATGGATGAAAAAAGTTTACATCTTTCACAATAAATTAATTAATAAATTTATTATAGTACACTAATCACTCTCTTCTATTTTTTTCACCGCTGGCTTTTGTACGACAAAATATATCTTTCTATGATGATTGTGTAGTTTTCTTTCCGGCTTCTGTAACAGTTACTTTTTGATGCATTTACTTAATATAATATATTTACTTAATATAATTATTATTAATATAATATATGTTTGACAGTGAATGGTGTTTAGTTAGGAAATCTGGCATACTGAAACTAAAATATTTTGGCTCCGTATATATATCAGAATTTTGGAGAGGAGAGGAAGAAAAAAGATTTTTCAAGTATTTATACTTTTTGTTTTTTAAATTTTATTACTCATAATTACTATTTATTAGTGCAAAGGGCTTTGGCCCTGAGGGACTACTGTTTTCGTTTTGCGATTTTGCGTCGAATCACTCTGAATGTCCGTTTCACTTTCCAAAGTGTTGCCACCAAATATTATCACCCTGTATTACATTTGAAGAAATTAAATAATGAAGAATCTGCATAAATGTATGTATGTTTCTCGCATTGTGATAAAACAACGGTACCTAGAGCCATTCAATTGTGAATGACGTAATCCTACTGCGAATATGAGCATGTGGAAGGCCAAATTTGAAATTTGAAATTTGTTTTATGATCGATTTCCTATTTTTTAAAACTTTAACGATTTTTTGATTAACAAACTCAAGGATTTCAAAGCGAACAATGGTAACGTTTTACAGAAAAAAAATTTTTTTTTTATCTCCAGAGTGTGAGACTGTATCGGAAATTCTAAAGATATACTCAATTTAAAATTATACTGCGATATTACTCAAACCTTTCCGAATTACGGGATCAAGGCATTTGTCTTATTTGTTTACTGTTTAATCCAGTTACGTTTCATATTATCTAGCTGAAAGCATTGCAGAACAATTGCCGTTTCCTTATTAAGAAACTAGATGCTAACATTCACTACTCATAAAATCTTTTGGAGACCCACAAGTTTCACCGAAAATATTATATAAAATAGTGATTATCTTTAGCTGGCTAGTTGCAATTATCATTAGTTGGCGATAATTTAACTGACAATGCAATTTCTTTTATGGATGAAGCAATGATGTCATCCCCTGTACAGAACCACCCGTTGAATGTAGCTAAATATTTGCATATTAATTTTTCTTATCCTCGATAATTCTATGCATTATACGTAAATTCAATTACGCTAATTTTAAATTTCGTTTAATGTTTTAAAATTTACTTACTTTTGAATCACCCCGTAATAATAACCTAAATAAATTAAAATTAAAAACTAAAAGCACGCAATAAAATAATAATACGAGGTAATTTTAAAAGGAAGAAAAAGCAGTCTAGATATTTAGAATTAAAGTATTAATCACTTTAATTAATTAAACAGTCTAGATATTTAGTATTTAGATTAATTAACATTAATAATGTTTAATATAACTCACCTTGGCTGGATGCAGCTCCCAAAGCTACAATGTAAAGAGCAAGAATGTACGACATTTTTCGGGTGTTAAAACAGCTGGACAATGTTACTGTTGTTTGGATATAACAGATTATTCATTTATCTCTCCTTACGTAATTTTCTCTCGGGATGGAAGAAAGCAAATCATGTATCGTGCAGTTACTTTTGTTCGTTCATTCCTTTTTATCCTATATTTTTTCCCCTTTTCCTTCTACTTCCCCTTCTTCTTTTTTCCCTTTTATTTTTCATTATGTTTTTTTCACTGACATCTGTTATTACAAATGGTGTTCGTTCACCTAATCATAATTTCTGCCCCCCTTAAAGGTATAGTGGGGAAATCCAGGATAATAAATGAAAGCGTGTGGAAAATCTGCCAATTAACATTCCAGTAAAAGACTTATCTTTTTTTGCTTTAGATCATAAACATTATCACGAAGCATTTCGAATCTTTTTTCTCGTATGACGGGGAAAAAAAGATTGTTCTCTGTATTTCCAGTCTTAATTCAATGACTATTTTTCCATAGCTATCTAAAAGCATTTTCTTTGAAATTCTTGCTATTTCGAATTTCGTATTCTTATGTCTGAGCAAAGGGCAAGCAGTTGAATCTCTATCCATTTTCACGAGAAATCACTGAGTAAGCCTTGAGGACTTGTCCATTCCAAATCCCCAGGTTTTATGTCAGTCTATTTGTTTGTTAGTTGCTGCGTGTTCTAAAAAGCAAGAATTTTCTACGATCATTAGGCCTCCAGTACAATGATAACTAATCAAGGAAGAAGTACATAATTTCTCAAAAGAAATATGATTTAAGAAAGAATAATCACTACGACGAAGTTTAAAGCACCGAACTTTTTGAAGCCAAGGAGGGAAACAGAACTTTAGAAGAATGAAGAGATCTTGAGAAGAAATTCAAATCTTGATCTTTTATTCGAATATAGCTTGAATATTAGACGCTACTACTTTAAAAGATGCCGAAATTGTGGCAGATATAAAATATTCATCAGACTATGATGAAATTAGAAAACTGTAGAAAGTTTACAAAAAATGATGCTTAAGAAGCAGAAAAAAGATGTTAATATATTGCATACCTTTTTAGAACCTTCTGAAATTATCCTGATTAATTTATCTCGATTTCCTCTTATGAGATGTTATCCAGTTCCCGGAAAGACTTAAATAGGACTTCTCTTCTTTTTTGGATAGGTCCTCTTTATTAACGGATAATTTTTGCTAATGATATATTTTGTTTACGTTTCTGATGTGATTTTGTAGGGTATGTCTAGCAGTTTAATACAAGATCCTTCATACCCTACTAGACTGACAAGCCAGTTATCGCTGTATTCGGAATTACGATCTCAAAGGTTAAAAATGTTCAATATAAAGATTAATTTTATTGATCTCTTGAAATTAATAGAAGGCACTGCTGTTGCTACAGACAAAACTCCACCCCTTGCCGGTTTTTAAAATAGCATAAAACTGAAACTATACATAAAATAGTCTACTTAAGATAAATCAAATAATAAACGACTGGCTAAAGTCGTTTAGCAAAACGGCTGAAGTCGGAAAAAACCTTGGCAGGGCTGGGGGTAATATGTAACCGCAATGCGAGGCTGCCAAAATCTCTCACCCTACCCTTAAATACTAAATAAAAAATTTGCATTCTGGCGAGGACTACCGAAAGAAGAAGCTATGCTAAAGATTCAATTCATAATGACTCGTTAATTAGCATAAAATTCTAAAAATTTCCTAAAAACTTTATTGACATTTTTATAAGGCTGTAGTATAAAAGGCTAGAATTAAAATTGAATTTTGTTAACATTTCAAATATGTATTGCATGTCGATAACTTTGTATGTAATTTTACTCTAAAATGTATCTCAATTTAAAACTTTATTGCATCGAAAATACTCTTTATTAGTCCAAAGGGATTTGAATTCCGAAGGACTATTAGTTTCGTTTTGGCATTTTGCGTCGGACGGATAAATGTCGGTTCACTTTTCAAACTGTTGCCATAAAATGTTAGAGTCCTGCATTATATTTGAAGAAATTAAATAATGAAAATCTGCGTAAATGTATGTATATTTCTCACATTGTCATAAAATAACGGTACATAGAGTCATCGAATTTTGACTAACGTAATCCTCCAACGAATATGAGCATGTGGAAGACCAAATTTGAAATTTGAAATTTGTTTTATGATCGATTTCCTATTTTTTAAAACTTTGACGAAATTTTGATTAACAAACTCAAGGATTTCAAAGCGAGCAATGGCAACGTTGTGCAGAAAAAAAAATTTTTATCTCCAGCGCGGTGAGTCTCTGTATCGGAAATTCTAAAGATATGCTCGTTTTAAAACTATTTTGCGATATTGCTGTTGCACTGGATCTTATGGTTTAAGTGCGAGGAACATGATATTTAATAAAGAAAGGTAACACACAAAATGTTAAAAAACGCCCCTTTGGACGTAATTTAAAATCTGAAAGATTTCAGATTTTTTTTTTTTTTTTTTTTTTTTTTTTTAAATAAAGTGGCATTATAATTATTTACTTAATTTTTATTTTGCACTTATTTCAGGCCCACTGTAAATGGAAAAGTTTTGTTTTCCTTGTGATCAAGTAGTATCATAAAAAATGATTTTGGAATGAATGAGAAAGGTAACACACAAAATGTTAAAAAACGCCCCTTTGGACGTAATTTAAAATCTGAAACATTTCAGATTTTTTTTTTACCTTTTTTCAAATTTTTCTTTTCTCGTAAAATTTGAGATATGGAGGTTCAATTATAGGTAAACCTTGAATCGAATTGGGTAATTTCCATAGACAAAATGCATTAAAAATTAATGTATCTATTCACGAGAAATCAAATTTTTGAAACTAAAAAAACTCAGTAAAATGAACATTTTTTTCGAATGATACATTTAATGTTATGCTTTCTTTTTCTTCATAAATCTAAATGAGATATTTTGCATAAAACATGGAAATCATGTCTCAGAGCTTCTTTTTAAGAATCCTTTAATATACAGAACACTTATAAAGATTTGAATTATTTATTCACCGCCACACAGAGGGCAGCGTTCTTGTTTTGAATGTAGTTAAAAAGATATTTTGAGGAAAATTTGAATTTACAAACAAATGCTATACAATTAATTGGAATAAAGCAAAATAAAATTGCTTAATATTTCACACTTTTATTCTATCTTTTAATGCATTCAATATTTTTTATTTAAGAAATTAAATTATAAGTTTCCTAAAGTATTGATTTTTTTAATACTGTTTATATTAATGCTTTTATATACATAAATTTTTGCAGCTGAAAGAGAAAGTTATATTTTCAAAGATTCATATTAAGATATATTATCAGTTATCCTTTATTATCACTTGTAAGTACACATCAGATGTCCAGATCTCCGTTAACAGCATAAAAATAAGTCATATAATTAAACAAATGTGGCATTAATATTAATATTCATTAACTGCTACATGAATTCATCACTGATTGACAGGAAGAAGGGAAAAAAGTCGCAGAATAATTCAGCGAGAAATTATTGCCAGAAAAAAGATGAAACCATTTTTATTGGCAATTAAAAGTATTATGGACAGAATTACTCGTACGTTAGTATTATGTGTTAAATAAAACTCTTATGGTCGCTACAAGCATCTATATCCTGGTAAAGGTCCTGCTTCGAAACGAGGCCATTCCTTGATGAGGGCATAGAGGGCACTGCCAGGGCATTCTGTGCATCCAGCATCTCTGTGTCCGTGTAATTTATAGTTTTCGGCCACATAACCCTGAAGAACGAAAGACGTCTGTTTAGTTTACATAGTTATTTTTAAAGAAGCCCGTTGAACATAAATAAGATAAGCTAAGTTCCCAAATGTAAATTTCTGACAGAAATAGTTTAAGTAATAAATCTCGAAATTTAATTTCAGTCCCTGAAAAGAGTATTTTCCCCTTCAGCTGAAAGTAACTGAAATCATATATTTTAAGATAAAATGAAACAGTTAAAAAGGTATATAAACAGTTTAAATTATAATTAAATATTTTTCATTTTTATACATCACTAGCTTTTGATAAGAGTTTTGAAGCATTTCATTTAACAAAAAGCATTATAGAGTAAATAAAATTAGTATTCTCTCAAGACTGACGGACCATTTAGATTTTTTAATTTTCAAATTTATTTTAAAGAAAAAATGCTTCAAATATTCGAAATGATGTACTAATAAAAAGAATCGTATGTAGTATATAGATGCTTAAAATAATCTTAAAACGTTTAGTGTAGAACAAAGTTTAGAGAAACACATAAAAGTGTTGGCTCTTTAAAGGCCTCCTACTTTTATAAATGTTAAATATTCCGAAATGTTTTCGCGTACCTGATCTTCAGCGCAGCGAATGAGACTCCGTGTTGCGTTAAGCATGATTTCCGATGGAGGCTGTTCTGTAAAATCTCCTATCAGTGAGAATGCGATAGAATTCCTATTGAATCCATACGTGTGCGCTCCCATCCTTGTCCATCCACGAGCAACGTAGACACGACCATCACCTCCGATCAAGAAATTATAGCCAATATCATCCCAACCTGAAAAAAAAGGAGATGAAGTGAATCGTTCAAAATGTTACATTTCAGTCTTCCAATTCATCAAACCTGCATACTGCCTAAGCTACTTGATTTACAAATCATAGCTTCTTCCCTGCAAAAAGAATGTAAAAAAGACTAAAAAACGTAAAAAGAATTGCTTATTATTTTTATACATCGGAGTTTGTCCGTTAAAATTGATAATTGAGTTGTTCTTACTGTTGCATATCCCAAGTGTTTTAATGTTTCCCTTGCATAAACATGAATGACCAGAAATTCCATCTACAGGAAATTTAAGAATGCATGGCAAAAAATTTAAGACAGGGAGCAAAATTTGAAGATTTTGTGAAGGAATATGCGAGCAGAAATGGCGAATTGAGACAGTAGAAGGCACTTTTGAAATCCGTAATTGAAAGCGTTCCGTAGGTGTAAATTTTCATTGCCCACGAGGGGCAGTATGCATCGTTAAACATATACGGAACTCATCGATATACATTTTATTAAGAGCGCAGCGGTCAGAAACTGAGAAGCTGGTCAAAAGATGTGCAGAGAACGATTTTTGAGTAGAGAGGTTCCGAATCATCACAAGTTCCAGAGCACTTAGCAAGAACAGTGCTAGAATACGTTGTTTCTTGTTTGCAGGCGTGATGCGGGCAGGAGAAGACACCGCAGAACTTCTTTAGTGCATCTGTTTGAGGATAAAGCTGGAAAAAGCACGAAAGTTATTTTATGGGCGTTGGGTATGAGCTAACTAATTATCGGAAGGGCTACAAATGAAGAAGAAAAACATCCATATTAGTTGCAAAGAGTGGGGGCTTGAAACCGAACGATAACCCTCTAGTGTTAACTTTGCCTACTGGTATCTGTACGAAGCTGCAACAAATCCCGATTTATCTTCGTGTTAATCATTGTAAAGTTTGCACTATCGGGTATGTTTAAAACCTATAATTCTCACCTTTGGATGCATGATAATCCATATGGGGTAAAATCAACATGTCTACCTGGAATGATTCCATTAATATTTGGGCTGGCATGGTACACATCTTGTTAGTAGGACGGTACCTATTCCACCTTAAACGCCGCACACACAGCATCTTTCTATAAGATACTTTGTCGGAACTTTTTTCGATGTTCTTGCAGATATTAGCATATAAATGTCGTTCCAGCATGACTAAGGGCCCACACATTTCAGTAATAATGTTACAAATTAACTCCATGCTACTTACCGGCCTCATTGAATCGGACGGGTTTACCTGCTCTTGGCCACCAAGATGACTAAATTTGATATACAGTAGAATCTCGCTTAACTTTTTCCCGAATTTTACTCGTAAAGTGAAACGCTCTTTAGGCAAACCAATTTTTTCCACAGGAATCAATGTGAAATAGGGTAATGTATTTCATTCTGTAAAAAGTACTAAAACAAATTTATAATAATGTAATTTATTATTTATAATGCATTCTTTTTTATAAACGTGATTGTGGACGTGGGCACCGTTCCTCTACCATTGTGGTTAATCGGTTTAATGCCACGTCCACCATTCTCTAGCGATACCCGCCTTGTGAAATCGGAAGGAGTCACACAGGTACCTAGCCTTGACCGCCGAGACCCACAGCCTAATGCATGGCCACTGGCTCCTTTAAGCCGCATTGGCTACTGAGAAATGTTATATTGTTTATATTTACATGGCACAGGTATTATAAATTGGTTGCATATTGATTACAAATATGTACATAAATACTACATATTGATATATATATATATATGTATATAGGTATTACAAATTGATTACATAGGTGCATATAAGTATTGTGCTACGATTACATATAGTAATACATAACTTTACTTGAATCATATAACTATATATAAAGTACATATAAAGTAATATGAATTACACATTAAAAGAGTACATGAGTAAAACACATATGTAAAACGCATTAAAAGATCAAAGTACATAAGTAAAACACATATGTAAAACACATTAAAAGATCAAAGTACATAAGTAAAACACATATGTAAAACACATTAAAAGATCAAAACACATAAGTAAAACACATATGTAAAACACATTAAAGATCAAAACACATAAGTAAAACACATTAAAGATCAAAGCACATGAGTGATCAAAATAGTTGTATAATAGTGCACAATATTACATGTAAGTTCATAATAATAATTCATAGTTCAGGTATTAATTTGTTATAAGACATGAGAGTTCATAATAAAAATGACTGTTATAGCTCATAAATCCAAAATATGTAATTGCATAAAAGATCAAAAGAATTTTTTTAAAAAAATGTATAGTGGACAATAAGTACATTGTAATAGTTCAACATTTATAATGATAGTTGTTTAATATCAAAATTTCTAATAGACATAATCTGTCATATGGATAAATAAATACCTCATAATCCAGTAAATTAATCTTTTTTATAAGAAAATTGTCTAGAGATATTTTCTTTTGCCTATGTTTAAAAAATTGGCGAAAATGAGACACAGAGTATCATTAAATAAACTTGTAGCGCGCATAAGTTCTACCTTGTTAGGGTGATGCTTTTCAATGAAAGATGCAAGTTTCCCATGCTTTCAGCACATCTGTTGTTTCAGTTATACGTCGTTGCTTTACTGAGGCCATTATCTCCTCCTCTCTGATGAAATCTTCTCCACAACTTCTTGTTGGGAAAGTTTCATAAGCTCTTGGGTGGTCAACTCCTGGCTGTGCTTTTCCGCTAAATCTTCGATGTTCTTGCTATCCAAATCTAACCCATAGTCTTGGCCAGAGACACAATCTTGTTCATTACAGGCTCCGCAGGCACATGCCCAAACCCTTTGGAGTCGCATTCGACAAAGCTGTCTGGCCAAAGTTTATTTCATGTCACTAAGAGTTCTCTTAGTGACCCCTTCCCATACCTTGTTGATCATCTCCAGGCAGGCAACGATGTGAAAGTGGTCTTTTCGAGAGTGAGATTGGTTCTTTGAGTAGCCTCGAAGGAACTCTAGAAGAGTACTTCAGCGTAAAGCTTTTTAAAATTTGAAATGACCTTCTCATGGACTACAGTAAAGGAGTGGTGTTGAGCGTCCAAAATTGGACTAAACACTTCATTGATCCAATTTGTAAAAAAAAGGTCATATGTAACCTAAGCCTTGTTGTTGAACCTCCACATAATATTTAGCCTTCTTTTTCGGTCTTACTTTTTCTTGAAGGTTCGTAGATTATCCAAATGGTAAATGAGCAGAGGTTTAATTTCTTAATCGACACTTGCATTTGTACAAAACAACAGGTTGAGACGGCTTTCAATAGGCTTGTGGCCGGCAATGCCTTCTCCTCTGTTGTAGTATATAAGTTCGCTTCGGCATCTTTTCCAGAAGAGACCAATCTCATCACAATTAAAAATAGGCTGCTGCAAATAACCCTCAGAATTCACAAGCTTTTTGAATACGGCGATGAAGTTCTCTGCTGCTTTTAGGGAGCTTGATGCTTTTCCTTGCCTCACAATGCTGTGGATATCAGTTCTTGTCGTAAACATTTCGAATCACCCACTGCTTGCTTTGAATGCTATTTCTTGCTTTCTTGCTTTGAATGCTATTTACTTAAATAGCCTGGTCGTGACCTTGGCATCTCTTTAAGGGGGTCGGCAAAAATTAATTTTGCCTTCTTACAAGTTATGTTTTCGTTAATAGTATCGCCTTACATTTGCTTCTCGTTCATCCCTATGATCCTCTCGTTGATCCGTTCACCTCGTCGAGAATGAATGACCGTTGCGCTTTGAAGAAGCACTCTCCTTAATCTTATCCTTGTTTTTGAGGATAATGCAAATCGTTGATGTAGATCGATTATATGTGAGTGTTAGGTCAGCCACGCTAACACCTCATTCTCGCTTTACAATGCTTTGCTCAATGACTTGGTGTTGCGGAAATTTTGCGAACAAACGTGCTTGTACTAAAGAAATACAGAATAACGTGTCTAAATATAGTTTTCAAAAACGACAGTATGATGCTAACGTTAAACACAGACTGATCAAGCAGATCTTGCATGTTACGTCCCGATATCTCGATGCCATAAGTTCTGCGAAACATCGCTAGTTAAGAGTCTTTTTTTTTTTTAAACATTTTGTTTTGCCCGTTATGGGAGGTGCTTCTTAAGCGAGGTTTGACTTACTTCATATCTCTTAGGGAAATTTTAACAGAATAATATACGAAAGCCTTATTGGGTCTGACGAACATCTAATGGCTAAATTATCAGTGGCTGTTTGAAGTGTGCGTGAAATGCCTAAACTTTTACTAATATAAGCCAACCTATACGCCGCTACTTAAATCTTGCAATACTGTTGGTAATTACTTTTCAGAGCACCTGTTTTAAGAATTTGAATGATTACAATATTTGTTTCTCCTAACATTACCTAGCTTTCTTATCTCCTGTTATTCATATCTTTTACATAGCAGAACTAACAGCGTCATTTTCTGCCCATACATTCCAATAGAAAGTCTATTTGGTCTGGTTCTTTCTACATGTATTATGACTTTTATTTACTATTTTTGAATCACCTATAGAATAACACATAACATTTGAACAATGACCTATGGTTTTGTTCAGTTCAGCCCACAGTTCATCAACATAATTTAAGGAGGATAAAATGCTAAATTTTTGGCATTTCACTTCCTTCTTCCCCAACTTCACGAAGTCAAAAGTCACACATTAAATGTAGATCAGATAGGGATAAGTTGTAGCCAAAGCCTGAAGTCTAGTTATTTCGTGAAACGACCAGTCACTTCTTAGTTTTAGCCTCACGAGCTGGTGAATATACAATAATTATCAGTACTTCCAATGAACGTTTTAAGTTTCGTTGGGATATTTCTCTGTAGCCAAACCTAGGACGGGTTGGCCAAAGCTCGTAATGGCCACCCATTTCGGAAAGTGACTAAACTTCAATCTTTGGCAATAACAGATATTACAGTCAGTAATGTTTGTATGCTAACCTGGTCTATCCCTTAATCACACCCTTCATGGTTGAAGGTTTCTTTGTAACTGGTGGTTTTCAAACATTAAGCTTATTTATAAACCTGACTACGGGGATCGTATCCCAACTAAAGAGCTGACTGCATGGGCTTTTCATGGTTTTCCCCATGTGTAACGTGAAGATAAATCTTGTGTAACGTGAAGATCTTAAAATAATTCACCATTATTCGAAAAAGCAAAGATAGAGAAAATAAAGGCCGCAGAACTCACCTAAGTCATCCATATGATAATTTTGCATACCCCTCATCCTTCGGGAGCAAGATATTAAGTCGTTGCATTGTGGCGTGACTGTGTGGTGGATAAAAAGATTGGTTGGAAAAACCATCTTGTACTATGGAGCAGTTAGTCGAATATATTTATTATTTATTGTAGTTGCAGCCTTCGGTGTCCTATCATTGTACTTCTGAGATACTGCTGTAGAATTTTTGAAGTTAGTTTTCCTTTTTGAAGTTAGTTTCCAAAGACTTAATGAATCACCCTTGCGAATAACTTCTGTCAAACTCAGGTTGACTTCTTCCCTATTAATAGCTCTTCAACTACATTCAACTGTAAAACGATGTCTGACAGACACATTAAAATCTGGTGAGTCAGAATGACTTTCTGCTAGTACAGAAAAGACCAAAAAGCACTTTAAGGAAACAGAAAGGAGATTTTGCCTAAAAAAGGAGATTGTGCACTAAAAAAGAGGAAATTTTGTCGTAAATTTTGAATGTAGAGGTGATATTACTAATCAGAATACGTTACACAGGGATATTCAGAGAAATATATAAAGCATATTCTCCCCCCCCCACAGTCACTTTTCACATAATTTATTCTATGTTTTTCTAAATTATTGACATTTTTCTTTTTGTTTTTTTAGTTAAATTAGTAAGTTTTTTTAAAACTAACACTTTCCGATGCTTGGGTTGTTGACAAGATGGATGCGTTAGTGAAAAGAAGGTTAATCATATCGGAATGTTTTACGCAATTCCTCCATGATAAAAAAAGTAGAAAGTGTTGTTTGAGTCTCTAGCAAGGAAGATCTGCAACTAACAATATATTTTTGAAAAAGTATGTATATATAGGAATCTGCTCAATATCGACATATACGATAAAATTTAAATAAGAATTAGATTATCCGTTTTAGCAACAGATAAGAAAATATTAGATGATTGTAAGCTTTTAGGCAATTTTCAGAGGATTAGTGTATTTTATTAATTATTAAATTTAGAATATTAATAAATTTTGAACATCCTTGAGACGTAAAAGGTTTGAAATTTATGAATTCCTTACTTGCAATACTACTTTTGTTTACATCAATGAAGATATCTTTTTAATTGACAGTTGTAGAGTCATTAGGCTTTTTTAATGCTGGAGACTTGAAAAATGCGCAGTGCTTTCGCCGGGACCTGTCGCATGTAAGTCCAGTATGCTTCCAAATACACCACGAAAGCATGCGGAAAGGAGGGATAAAATACCTTATACACTAAATATCAAAATGAAAACAAAATTTATTTAAACCACATAAGACAAAAAAAAAAAAAAATACATGCACATGCAGACATTATACCGGCAGTGACCAAATTTTGTAGACATTGTTAGAAGTCAAATTAAAATAATTCACCGTTATTCGAAAAAGCAAAGATAGAGAAAATAAAGGCCGCAGAACTCACCTAAGTCATCCATATGATAATTTTGCATACCCCTCATCCTTCGGGAGCAAGATATTAAGTCGTTGCATTGTGGCGTGACTGTGTGGTGGATAAAAAGATGAGGTACGGGCATGCTGTTCGTGGTGTTATCCAAAGACAAGCGGGCTCCCCATCTATCCCTAGAAACCATTTCTACATCTGCACAACCTACGGGAGGACATTAAATTTCTTCTGTAACAGAAGTCAACTGACGAAGCGAATTAAATAACTTTTAGAACACAGATATAATTTTATGTCATCTAATCAATAGACAACAGCAGATTTGAGGAAACATGCCTCGTTTACTATGCACATTCTGCATTCTTTTCTTTGCAACTGTTTAACTTTTTATTACTAAATTTAATTACCTAATATAGTTACTTCGGTGTGTATTCAGAATTTGGAATTTTTGCCTGCGAAATTTCGAATTATTTTCATTAAGGAGCTTGACGTTTCTTACGCTTGTTCCGTTATTTAAAATCGATTAGCTTCTACGTTAACAAAACTTTTCTTTTTCTTCCTGGAGGAGCTGTCTTTAATGTAAAATACTAAATTTGTCTGACTTTTTGTGATTTACTTGTAACTACCACTAAGTTATCAAATCTAAATGAAATTTTTAACGCTCCAATAAAAAGTACAAGCTACATCACGGGTATAATTAATAAAAATTTAAAGTTATAAGTAAGTGAAAGTTTGTTTGATACCAGTTTATGGAATGACTCGAAGCTTTCTATGCAGGGAAACAAAAATTTGGTCTTCAAATATTTCGAAATTCAGTCTCTTGTGTTAAAAGATATTTAAAAAAATTGTAAAATTATGCTAAAAGTTAAAAATAGCTATAAATATTCGCTAGAGAAATAATACTGATACTTTCTTGTTAAAGCAGCCACCGTATAAATTCTGGCCGCATTTGCACGTTGCAGACTGGACGATTAAGCTTGCTAGTTTTGGCTATTAAGTGCTGTTGTACGTAGGTAGGTTTTTTTTTTTTTCAACCTTCGATCGCACAGTATGATGGCCAGGTATGCGGCAGATGGTTGGTGTGCGTAGTAGGCGACTGCGCATCTCCCCCTCCACACGCTCTGTCACTGGCGTATTCAACACGCCATTTTCTGTTGAGTTGCAGTCACGTAAACATGGCTGTCGCTATTCATTCTCCCACCAAGTGGGAATTGCTAGCTGTTATTCGTTTCTTGCAAGCAGAAGGGAACAGTGCAGCGGAAATTCATCGAAGCATGAGTCGAGTGTATGGAAACAGCTTTATGAGTGATGGCGTTGTTCGTGAATGGTGTCGAAAGTTTAAAAATGGCCGAACTGATGTGCATGATGAAGGGGGTCAAGGACGCAAGTCTGTCGCTACAGACGACATTGTTCAACGAGTTGACCAAGCGGTTAAGCAAAATCGAAGGTTCACCATAAGTGAATTATCGATGAAATTTCCGGAAGTTTCAAGATCTTCCCTGTACTCTATCGTTACTGAACAGTTGCGCTCGCTGGGTCCCACAGATGTTGACTGACGACCACAAAACTGGCCGAATGGTTGCAGCGTTTGAGTTTCTTGACCGTTACAATACTGACGGAGAAGAGTTTTTGAAATCCATTGTGACAGGTTATGAGACGTGGGTTCAATATGACGCGCCCGAAACGAAATGACAATCGCAACTATGGATGCACACAAATTCTCCAAAGAGACCCACAAAATTCAATCGAACCTTTAACAACCGTAAGGTTATGGCAACTGTTTTTTGGGACCAAAAACCTGTGTTGCTTGGGGAGTTTATGCAGCCCAAACAACAATTAATGCAGGTTCATATTGTGAAACTTTGCGACGCTTACGGAGAGTTATTCAAAACAAACGAAGAGGCATTCTGGAACTTCTGGAATTGTTCTGATCCACGACAATTGCCCGTCCTCACAGCGCTGGTGTAACCCAACGGCTCCTTCATGCAATTTCAATGGGACATTTTCGAACATCCACCATATAATCCCGACCTAACGCCGAGTGACTTTCATCTGTTCCCTGAACTGAAGCAATGGCTTGGCGGGAAGAGCTTCCAAAATGACGTGGAGCTGAAAGAAACCGTCACAACTCACTTCCAATTATTGGCGGGAACATTTTATGAAGAGGGTATTGCAAAGCTTGTTCACAGATATGACAAATGCCTCAATCGTCAAGGTGATTATGTAGAGAAGTAACCTGTATTGTACATTACTTTTGGTAATAAAATCTTTTTTGTATATTCACACGTTTTTTCTTTATAGCCCATCGGAGGTTGAAAAAAAATAGCCCTCGTAGCTTTAACGAGAAAGAACCATGATACTTTTAAAGTTAAAAAAATAATAAAAAATGTTAAACAGTAATTTTGCAATTATAGAAGCACTATGCTCATGCATAACGGAAACTTCAGTTAAAATCACGTAATACAATCTTCTTGTGGTGCATGTAAACAGAGCTTTGATGAAGCCGACAACAATAATATTGTCGATACGTATTAGTAACAAGACTTAGAAAGAATTATAGAAACACACTTAAATTATTAAAATATTGGAATTATTTGTAAATCTTTATTGTAATTAAGAATGTTGCTATAATCATTATTAAAACTATTCAGTTATGCCGACCGCTAAATAGTCGTCTGTCATGACAGACAGAAGGATATTGTTATAAAATCAACTCTTCGAACTCAGAAATTAAAATATATACATTTATTCACATCCACATCAGCTGTATAAAATCTAACATAAGAAAAGCAAGTTCTAATAAAATGACTAGCGGTGTCTCAAACTGGATAAAAGTAAGAGCCAGAGAAGGCTTAGAAATAGCATTTCTAACAGATATACTAATGCAATAATATAACTTAAGGAGACACAAATTGCCCAGCCTTTACTGGCGTCCCAGGGCTTAGTAAGATTTCTTGAGCGAAAAGTAAAATGCGCCTATGAAAATTGATATGGTGATGATATTAATGCTGGTGCCATCAAATTTGGTATAAAATAAAAAGCAACAGAACATTTGAAAACAAAATTGTTGATCAACAATAGAATGTTTTATAAAGATTTCTTCAATAATACCGTCACATGAAATTATTTTATATTTAGATACATATTTAAAAATAAAAGAAAAACAAGTTAAAATATTTAAACACGCGGCCAGCCTTCATCTGGATTTTAAACGTACTGGAAAAATTCCTGAAGGGAACACTAAATGTTAAATTTAAAAACTGCGCAAAATTTTACTCTGCTGAAAAACGTCATAAAAAAGTATTACATATAACAAAATTTCAATGAAATAAGCAATATCCCTTAATGCAAATATTAATTATCCTAATAAATAAATTAACCAACTTCCCGTTACCTTCTCTCGACAAACGTCCAGTATCCAAGAGAGACATTAAATTTAAAAACTGTACAGATTAATCGCCTACATATTTCCAAGTGGCAACAGGGCTGATTTTCAACAGTCAGCAGTCCAGTATACAATTGAATGAAAAACTGTTGCCAAAACCACATTTCTAAAAGAAAGAAACTATTCAAAATGATGCTATAAAATCGAAAAGATAAAATAAAAAAAATCTGATTCAGATTTTGAAAAACAAAATCGCTTCGAGGTGCACTGGCTCTTGTCTAGATGCACCTATATATTAAATTTCGTAACCCTGGGTCTATTAGCTTACGCACAGTACATACGAAAGACACACAGACTTTTTCTTTTTTTCCTTTTAATTCTTCTTGTAGAGATTAAAAAAATAAAATTCGACAACATTTAAAAATAAAACTTATCTTCAGACGCTTTATTTAAGTTTTCTGCAGTAATTCACATGTTTATACAATTGTTATACATTCAAAATTGAAATGAAAAGCAGTTTAAAACATTTAAATTGAAAGCAATAACTAAATAATTTTCAAAAATTTAAAGAATTTAGAGATTCCTTCACATATATACTTTACATAAAATAATCAAAACTTTTAACTTTAAGGGAAAAGGAAGACTTTCCTTAAAAGTAAAACTTTAATATTTTAATCCTAGTTATTCTAGTTTTATTTATTGCGTGTTAAATAATTTTATTTATTGTAGTTCATAAAGTAAGCTGGAAGAAAATCATTTGTAAAAAGCTCTAGCATTGCATTAGTTCTGTAAAATGCGCAGTATGATAAGAATGCTATAAAATAAGCTCATTAATATTTATACAATTCAATCATCTTTTATTCAAACATTTTAATGTCAAAATGTATGATGCCTTACCTTGGATTATAAAATGCCTTAAAAGCGACATGGACAATAGGATAGGTAGTAGGAAAGCCATTTCAAATTTACCTATAAAAGCAACATACGTATATTTGATTAATTAGAATTAGAGATCATTTTCAGTAAACATAGTTCTAAATTTGTTTAGCTTTGTTCTCCAAAAATAAGTATAGACGATTCTCAATTTACGAACTTTCGCAGTTGTGAAAAAACCCGTTCTCAAAATGCAAAATTTGTTCCGAGTCGAAGAGAAAATAAGCAATTTGAATGAAGCTAAAGTAGTGCCTACCAGCGGCCAAGCGGTAAAATCGCTAAACGCTAGTAGTTCGTTCCTGATTCGAATGCTTGTGAACGGGCTGTTGCATGTATGTTTTCGTAGATTTTCCCATGTGTAATTTGTATACGAGACAGTTTCCCTTAGAAAGTCCTCCACAAAGGCATCCCTTCCCTTAGGCAGATAGCCCTCGAGTGCTTTGCTGTAATTAAATAAACCAAACGAAACAGAAGCTAAAATAGTCTGCTGAGTGCGATGGCAAACCGTGCTATTATTTTATTTATGATTAAAGAAAAAAAAAAAAACAATTTAGACAAATTTAGACACTTATTTTCTTAATAAAAAAAAACATCAGAAATCGGTGTTGCTTGCCCATTAAATATGCCAAGTCCTTTCATCCCTAATACAGCCTCCTGATGACACATATCCCCTTTATTTGTCGATGAATCTTTAGAAGGCGAGTCAGACGTTGACTGACCACCACCCATGTAGAAATTACTACCCTCATCCTAACCCTGTCCAACATGCCTCAAACCCAGCAATCCAAAGTACTAGATATATAGTAAAATAATTATTTATTTATGAATTTTACGTATAATGTACTGCATTAAGAATTTAAATGTATTATTGTTTTTTTTTCATATTTTAATTGTTTATTTGACAGTATTTATCTCTTTTATTTTATGAATATCGTTAGAATATATGCATAACGAACATAATAATACTTTACCAACAAATTCATGGTACGAACTGCCGTTCGGAACGTAATTCGTTCTTAAAAGTGGAAAACCTGTAAGATATCGATGCTTGGCAATTAGACAATACGGAATTAATAATTTTCTAGTAACTGCAGATCTAGTTCTAAGCGGAAATATTTAAATTCGCATCATATTAAAGACATAGGAATCACGTATTTATAAAACTCCAATTTACCTAACTACACGAATTTATGAAAATTTTTTTTAATAAAATGTCCATCTATGATGAATTTTACGAATTTTTTTTGGAGCCTTTATAAATTCGTAAAACTGAGATATAAATTCCTTTGCCGTATTGCTATTCTGAATACACATTTTCGCTTAAATAAGATAATACAAACCATAGTTAAAAGAACTTGCACTAAATAAAAAATCGCTGTGCTTAAATAAGGAGTTAGAACATAGTATAGTCCTAAATTACTAAGCGCATTTCCTTGCTGAATAGTGTGTGTGTGATTATGGCAAAGCCTCGAGGGCTATCTGCCTAAGGGGAGGGATGGCTTCGTGAAGGACTTTCTAAGGGAAACTGGCTCGTATACACGTTACACATGGAAAACCACGAAAACACCCATGCAGCCAGCCCGTTCGCGGGATTCGAACCTCGGACCGAACTACCAGTATTCAGCCACTTTACCGCTCGGCCGCTGGTGGGCCCCTTGCTGAATAGAGAATAATCTAAATCGAAGGTGGCCGTTTGTGTTACTGATTAAATTACACATGATTTCAAATATCATTCTGATATATGCGTCGCGTTTAAAGTAATTCAAAACTACCTGCATTAGTGGTGCATACTTATGCTCCAGTCAACATGCAATCTCTTCGATGTGCTTCAAGCATTTTGTGTGTCATTGTTCTAATGATTTTCACAATTCATTATTTAAATTCAACATTGCTGCATAATATGCTGTTTACATATGGTCTTTTAAAATTTCCCACTTAAAGAAATTTAGATTATTATGGGGACCGATTTCTTGGCCAACTTGATCTCCTGATTTAATATTTCTTTTATAACCATCCTGCACTATTTCAGAAAATGGGATAAATGAATAGAACGATATAGTTTAATTTAAAGAAATCAGAAAGCAAAATATATGATTGTTTCATACTTTCGAATGTTTTTCTATTTCATTCGATGACGTTGACAGATTATTTGAGCCAGTGCTTTCCAAATTGTGAATGGTGACACACTAGTTTTAAACACTAAGCCAAGATAAGTTAATTTAAAAAAAATTATCTTATACAGTTATATAAATTTTTACGGAATTTATATATTTAAAGCATAATTTCTGGCTCCGGAGAGACAATCAGAGGATTTATCGTCTTGTCTTAGCCTCCAGTTGAAAGTAAAGAACAGTTGAAAAGAAAGACTGTTTTGGAAGTAATGAACAACTTTCAATGAAATGTTTCTTTAAAAGAACTGTATAAACCTTTTACAGAAATTCTAGACAATAATTAATCCATAAAAACCATCGTTATTAAGTAAAATATACATACAGCACAGAACACTGTTCGTTTTCGAATGTTTAAAGCAAAAAGAAATCCCCAAACGCACATAAAGGCCGATATTTAAAAAGGAACTCTCAAAATTTCCATTGTTCTAGTGTGAATATAGTCATACTTTAGACAACATAAAATATAAATCAAGTTTTGTTTTAACTAACAAATTATTTTACCTGTTAGTTAGAAGAAATTTAATTTTCTGGTTTGGTCATCACCAATACACATTTTAAGACTATATCTGTAAAATTACTGTTTTATGTAAGCTAAAAACCTTCATAACAAAAGAGCTTATGAGATGAGAATAAGACTTGCAAATATTTGATGCATAAACTATTTTTCAAGTCATTTCTTCAAACAATAAAAAAGAGAAAACAATGATGGGATTCTCCCATACCTGTTACGTCGATTGTGCAAGCAACAGAAAATAATATCGCATAAAGGATGCAGCAAAAAACTGTTCATGATTCTTAAATCAGATAGAGAAATAAAGCATTTGGTATGGAAAAATACTTTTGCTTTCTCAAAACATTGTTGAAATTATATTGTCACATACAACGCCATTTTGAAAGAATGTAAATGCATTTATACTTTTGTACATGCATATAAAGGGACTCAAAACTATGATAGATCGATTTAGTAATGAATTCTCCGCTGCTGCAAGAAACTGTGAAATCAGAGAACTGCTTCTGTTTTATAAAAGTAACCGATTCAACATTAAACAAAGTAAATATTTCCCTTGAAATCTGAATATAATAATGATAATAAATAACAGTGATAATATAAAATATAATAGTGATAATCAGTTAACTTCACGTGATTTTTTTAAGTACATAAATAAACTAATTACAAAATATTCCTCATAATTTCCTAAATACCCCATCATCGACCCTATTGTAAGACGGCCTCACATAATAAAATTCTACATTTTAAGAGGTATTTTTCTGATAAGATAGTTACATGCATATGAACCTTTTACACAGAAGATTTTCTGAACGGCAGATGATTAAATGTTTTAAATACCACAATCAAGTAAAACTAATTATTAAAGAAGTACTAAAATATTTGAGATAAATTGAAATAATAATCATTTATTGTTACATACATAACCGATATTTATAAGCTGAAACTATTCTACTATAAAGATAATTAGATGATCTAAATATTATATTTCGAGATAAAATTAAATATATTATCATTTAACATGAAAATTAAAGGATGAGATAGATTACTATACTATATCTTTTATGTATTAGGATGCGCATATAAGATGAACACGATTTTCTGAAATATATTTTAAAGGAATAACATTAGCTAAAACGGTTTATATTTTGGTAGAGCTAAAACGGTTTATATTTTGGTACCTATAATTTCTGACCAGATAAATTCAGACTGAAAAGTAATTCACATACTTGCTTGAATTCCTCGGTCTCTAAAGAAACAGTTATCAAATATTTGGAGATATATATATTTATATTTCATATCGTAACTTTGGGGAAATTATCACGATAAGCTAAGTTCTGTTCCTTCCAACAAAGCGCGTGGGTGGGTGAGAAAGTATGGAATTTCCACATCAGGCGTCGGTTCATTCTTCTTTCTCCAGTTTTCACATCCTTACTTCCCCCTTTTGTGCTCCGTTACTTCCGTTTGAAGGTTTTTCCTCTTGTGTATTTTATTTCTGGTAGGAATTATCAATTATGTAATTAGTTGCTTCGGAAGCGTTATGTTCCGAACAGTTGAAAATTTTTAAGATGACCGGAACTTTTCGAAAACGACATTTTGTGCACATTTGAATTCGGGGAAAAAATTTGTAAGCTGCAGACACTATATTCAGTATATTAAATAAAATAATTTATGTTAAATAACTCATTAAAATTAATAACTCCGAATTTTAATTCCTAACTCAGCCTAAACTATTACATGAATTTCATATTGGACTTAAATAGTCGGGAATATTTACAGAGATTTCATAAATTTTGAAACGTATCTACTTTATCTGAAACAAACTCGGAATCTCTCGCTATGCCACTATTGCCAAATGTTGTGCTTAATATGTTATTGAAATATATTCTGCTTTTCTTCATTTTTTTTCATCCATACTGAAACAGGTGCTAAAATATTTAAAAAGTACTGGAAACCCGCTAAAAATTAAGAATTTCCTTAATATTCCTATTGGAATTGCTTGCGATATCAAACAGTCTTTGATCTTTTCAATAAAAGGTATTACATTGTATAAATGTCTACCGATGTTAATGGACATATTCAGCAAAATGTCGGCAAAAGAATCAGTTAGAGATAATAACGAGCTTTCATAAAAACAGGCATTAAGTATGGATTAGATTTATTACATCATGGCAATGCATATAGAATTATCTGTGTAATCGAAAAGATGCCTTTGTTATAAGGGAAGTGGCTTATATTCATATTACACATGAAAAGGCCCATGCGGGCAGCTTATTCGTCGGTATTTGAACGCCTGTAGAAATACCATTATTCAGCGGTCTTATTTATTGGGTCTGTTGTGGACAAAGAGACATTAA